GTTTTCACAAGCTAAATCGGAGAAAAAACCGAGTATTTCAGAATTCTTTGACTTTTTTAAAACCTCGAATTCGTCCAAATATGATGATAGTGACGGAGAAGATTATTTAAATTTTCAAAATACATTTAGTAACCTAGATAGCTCTTATCTTAACATACCAATTACCGAAACAGAAATAAATAAAGCTATTATGAAGTCTAACAATGGTAAAGCTGTCTCGCATTTTGATTTTATAAGTAACGAGTATTTAAAGTCTACTCGAACTTTAATGGTCCCAATATATTGTTCATTGTTTAACGTTATTCTTGATACGGGTATTTTACCAGATACTTGGTTGATAGGTTGCATTAAGCCAATTTTCAAAAATAAGGGCTCTCCTGTTGATCCGGGAAACTACAGACCCATTACAATTCTCAGTTGCCTAGGAAAGATTTTTACAGCTGTCCTAAACGAAAGAATAACCAAATTTTTATCTGACAATAAATTATTACAGGAAAATCAGGCTGGTTTTAGAGCAAAATACTCTACAAATGATCATATTTTCACCCTTCATTTTCTCATAGAAAAATTACGCTCTAAAAAGAAAAAGTTATTTTGTTCTTTTATTGATTTTTCTTCGGCCTTTGATTCGTTATGGCGTGTTGGTCTTTGGAGGAAACTTTTTGGCATCGGTGTAAATAGTAAAATTTTTAACGTCATTAAAAGTATGTACTCAGACATAAAGTCTTGTGTATCAGTAAACGACCAAACATCAGCATTTTTCTCGAGCTTCTCGGGGGTACGTCAAGGGGAAAATTTATCTCCCATACTTTTTTCCATTTATTTAAACGATCTGGAACGTTTTCTCGAAAGACCTAATAACGGTATATTAATTGATTTTCATGAAGATGACGCGGTCCGATTTTTAAAGATTCTTGTCTTACTATACGCTGACGATACAGTTATTCTTGGTGAAAACGAACACTCATTTCAGTTATGCCTAGATGATTTTTACAAATACTGCCAAACATGGAAACTCAATATAAATTTTTCTAAGACTAAAGTAATTGTTTTTGGCACCAATAAACAAAGTAGATATTCCTTTTTCATAAATAACCGTGTTGTAGAGGTAGTGAAAGAATATAAATATTTAGGTGTTATATTTTCTTCTTCAGGTAGTTTTTTGTCTTGCAGGAAAAATATTGTCATTCAGGCAAATAAAGCCATGCACCAATTATATATGAGGATAAATAACCTTGACCTCCCTATTGATCTCCAGATTAAGCTTTTTGACCAAACTATTCTACCTATCCTTACTTACGGAGGTGAAATTTGGGGTTATGAAAATTTAGACCTTATTGAACAAGTACATGTTAATTTCCTACGCAAAATAACTAAGACTAGAAAGAGTACTCCCCGATACATGTTGTACGCAGAGCTAGGACGTTACCCCATAAATATTACTATAAAATCTCGAATTGTTAAATTCTGGAATAAGTTAATCCTGTCAAATGAATCGAAAATATCACATATGTGCTATAGTTACATGATACAGTCTGATCATAATTATAAGTGGATAAATTTTGTTAAAAATATTTTAGATAATACAGGTAATTCATATTTTTGGCAAACCCAACATAATATACGTGGCTATAACGTCCACAAACTGATCAAGTCAACGCTAATAGATCAGTTTAAACAGGAATGGTCCTCAAAATTAGAAACTTCTAATAAAGGCAGAATGTACAGCTGTTATAAAGATTCTATTAACCTTGAGAAATATCTTCTTTCCCTACCAAGTTTATTAAGATTGTCCCTATTCCATTTTCGCACCGGTAACCATAGGTTTCCCATTGAAATAGGCCGCTGGACTCAGTCATTTATTCCGCATGAACAGCGCAAGTGCCGGTTATGCCAAACTAATAGTCTTGGTGACGAGATGCATTATTTACTAGAGTGCCCTTTCTTCAGTGAAAAAAGGTCAAAGCTTATCCCAAAAAGATTCTATCAAAGGCCTAATATTGTCAAATTTAAAGCTCTTCTTTCATGTACGTTCGGAACTACTTTAAAAAATTTATCATATTTCGTCAAACACTTGATTGAACATTTCAAAAGATAAGAGGAAAGTGTAAGTTTTTTTTTTATTTTTTTTTTTATTGTTTTTTTTTTATTTTTTTGTTTCTTTTTTCCTCAATGACGTACAGACAGTCATGGCTCAATAGTTTTGTTTGTGTTTTTATCATGAATTAAATAGCAATGCGACGCAAATCATGATTTTCGTTATCCAATAAAACCGCGCGGCTGTATTACACATTCATCAAGAAAATGAAATTTTCGTGCAAATCTCTATACCTGTTTTCTTATGCTTTTACAGTTTGATAAAACTATTTACTGCAATACCCATATAACAAAAATACCTTCAAAGATTATTTGCATTACATAATATTACTGTCATTTCTTCATACCCATTTGATTTGATTTTGTCTACTGACTTTGTTCACATGTTATTACATTATACTTGTATATTGTAATCTGTGTCATTCTAAATAAAGTATATGTTACTTATACAAATGATATTATCGATGAAGTTAATATTTAAAAAAATACAAATCAAAACCACTCATAAATACAAAAAGGGGAAATCTGGAAAAATAACAATGATCTATCAATTAATTGACAGTCATTAAAAAAATCATATTAATTATATTATATCCTTTTTTAAAGGAATATCGTATTTGCTTTTTTTTACAAATCACCAAAAAAATTGAAACAAATAAACTATCGTCTTAGAGAAAATGCTTATTGGCTGGCTACATAAATTAATAACACGAGACCGTCGATTCGTTTTATTACATACTAATCGACGGTCTCCTACAATCAACGGTCTTTGAAGACATCCACATAACCATACCACGAGACCGTCTATATTTATAATACTACTAATCGACGGTCTCTCTCAATTGACGGTCTTCAAGGGTCTTTAGAATATTTACAATTGTGCGTAAACTAACACATTTTTATAGATTTTTAAATTAAAAATATCGAGATTATACTACTACTAATAATAATAATATAGAGGGAGTTCATGTAACATAAAATCTGAGACCTTAAACAAGAAAATAAAAAAAAAATATAAAAAAAAATGAAAAGAAAAAAAAAGAGAGAAAAAAAATAGTTTTGCTTATTGACCGGCTAAATTAATTAATAACTATATAATATCCATTAAATACATGTATAATCACGAGACCGTCGATTTGTGTAGTAACCTACTAATCGACGGCCTCCACGAGGCCGTCAATATTTATCAAACTACTGTAGACTATAATTGACGGTCTCTCCCTGTGCACACTTACAATTAATATTTTTTCTGTTTAAATTATTCTGACTATACTATTATTACTTATACAAATGATAATATTATCGATGAAGTTGATATTAAAAAAATACAAATAAAAACCACTCATAAATACAAAAGGGGAAATCTGGAAAAATAACAATGATCTATCGATTAATTGACAGTCATCAAAAAGTCATATTAATTGTATTATATCCTTTTTTAGGAATATCTTACTTTCTTTTTTTACAAATCATCAAAAAAGTTTGACACAAAAAAACTATCGTCTTAGAAAAAATGCTTATTGGCTGGCAACATTGATTAACACGAGACCGTCGATTCGTATAGTAACCTACTAATCGACGGTCTCCTACAATCAACGGTCTATAAACTACAAATCGACGGTCTCTCCCCATTGACGGTCTTCGACGTTCTTTAGAATATATACAAATGTGCATAAACTCACAAATTTATGTATGTATTTTTTAAGCTAAAACATCGAAATAATACTACTGCTACTAATTACTACTATTACTTATGATATAAATAAAAATATTAGACATTGATATTTTCTAATAAATTTAATAGCATTTTTATATTCCAATATATTTCATTGTCTTAAAATAATAATAATAATAAAATAAAATAATGGCATGTTAATTATGTTTTATCTTATTCATTTTTAAATCGTATTTGTTATTTTACAAATTATAAAAAAATACTGAAATCAATAAATCATTATCTTAGAGAATTTGCTTATTGACCGGCTAAACTAATTAATAACTATGTAATATCCATCAAATTAATGTATAATCACGAGACCGTCGATTTGTATAGTAACCTGCTAATCAACCGTCTACTACAATCGACGGCCTTTGTAGACATAAAACTATACCATGAGAACGCGTCTATAAACTACAAATCGACGGTCTCTCCCCATTGACGGTCTTCGACGGTCTTTAGAATATATGCAAATATGCATAAACTCACAAATTTATATTGATACTACTACTACTACTACTACTACTACTACTACTACTACTACTACTACTACTAACTACTACTAACTACTACTAACAATAATTATATAGATCAAAATAAAAATATAAGACCTTGATATTTATTAATAAATTCAATAACATTTTTCAATATATTTCATTGTTAATTTGTTTATCTAATTTGCTGCATAACAATATCTTATTTCCCCATATTTTTTTATATTTTTCCCTTTTTTATCTAATCATTTCTTTCCCCATTAAAATCCTTAAATATTGACATAAATAAAGTATCGTCGTAAAAGAAAAATGTTAATTGACCTATTATTAATTATTTCTAAATCATTCTTATCAATTCATCGCAAGACCGTCGATTTGTGTGTTAACCTACTAATCGACGGTCTCCTACAATAGACGGTCTTCGACGGTCTTTGGAGACCGTCAAAGACCGTCGATTTTGCGGAGACCGTCGATTAGTATCCCCCCACGTATACAGATTAAGAGTCTGACCATTTATTTAACTCGATCAAAATTAGCGCATTTAAGAAAAAAAAATGTCACATTCTTTCAGTGCGATTTTTTTTAGTAACTTATTATGAATTTTTAATCGTGTATAAACAAATCTAGATAATCAGTCTTTATTATTATTATTGTCTTATTGAACATTTTTAATCAAACATTATCTATTTCAGGGCAAATGTTGAGGTTGAAATTATCGGGAAATAGGACAGGACATTAACCTTCTGAAGATATTTTTATTGTCTAACTTGATTTCTGTGCATTCAGTTTTCATTACTATGCTTTGAAAAATAAAGTTTGAATATCATTTAAGTGAGACGTGTTTAAATCACTCAGATGAAAAAAATTGTTAATTAAAAAAACAGAAACTTTCAAAACGAACACCTCCCCCCATCCAACACTACTGAAATACCTTTATCCCCAGATAAATGGTAGATGTCCATGACGAAAAAACATCCTGTCAACTGTCCCAAAGTGATAAATGTGCCTCGCGTGTTTTTTTTCTTTTATTACTTTTTAAATGTAAGACATTCCAAGGCGTAAAGCTACAGTCTCACATCCCGGCAGAGCCCTGGTAGACGTCCGGGGATGATCCGGGAACGACCGGGGTACACCCGTAACTCTGCCGGCAACGTCCTGGATGATCCGGGAACATCCGGCATTCGACCCCGGATGAAATAAAATATTTAATATCACCGGGTGGTCCGGGAAGTATAGCTTTGCCGGCTTCATCCTTAGCTCTGCCGGGAACGACTTGGGTTACACCGGGGAAGTACCGTAGCTCTGCCGGCACAAACCGTGGATGATCCGGGGTATGATATAGCCGGTAGAGCTACGGTAGAGCCCCGGTGAATGTTGGCAGAGCCCCGGAGGATGCCGGCAGAGCCCCGGAGGATGCCGGCAGAGCTCCGGAGGATGACGATGGAGCTACGGTTGATCCCGGTAGAGCTCCGGCAAAGCACGGTTCATTTCAAAAGAATCACGACAATTTGCGATGATTGCACTTGTTTGTATTAAAACCCTTCCCATTTCCCTTCTATCCAGTCTTGCATAAGGATTTATTTAGAAAATCATCATGAATTACTATTCTGGAACAATAGATATTATATTAAATTAAAATTATGTATCAATGTAATCATTTTCAATCCACCGGGGCTCTGCCTGGATAGTCCTGGGCTCTGCTAGGGCTCTGCCTGGATCGAACGGGGCTCTGCCTGGGTCAACCGGGGCTCTTCCGGCGTCATCCGGGAACGGCTGGGGAAGCACCGGCATGAACCGTTGCTTCACCTGGGCTCTGCCTGGATGATCCGGAGCGCATCCTGGGTGGTTAGTTGGGAACTACCGTAACTTACCGGATGGTCCTGATCTCTGCCGGGAGTAAGTGAGACCGCAGCTTAAAGAACACTCAACAAGTCCTGAACTGCTGGTTTTCATTTTGTTCATGGTTACAAATTTATGGAACAAAGTAACTACTATCAAATGATATTCCAAGAAAAAGAACCCCTGACAACCACGAGTGAAAAAGCAAAAGAAAAACCTTGGCGTGCATGAAAAAAGTAACACGAAAAAAGTAACAGGTGGTTAGAGTTAGCATTATTTTACTTGTTTACATATTGAAAACAAACAAATTAACAAATGTTATAATTCCAATAAAACACGAAATCATATGGCACTTTATTAAAGTACCTTCATAACATACAATCACATAAGTTTTCCATAGCTTTGTAAGCTTTCAAATTTGAGCTCTTTTAAAATACATCTGCTATATATTTCAATGATTTATTTATCCTGGTTTGACACAATAAAAACTCACTGTAAACATCAAATGAGGATTAGGAAATGGCTAAATTCAGAGTTGTTTTACTACAATAAAAATAAAAGAAATTTTCTTTAAAGTGTGCCACTTTTCACATTAATTTAAACGAACACCTGAAACCGACTAACAAGCTTTATGTCAAATGCTTCACTTTAATTCGGCAATACTGCCTATAGGTTTAGCCAATCCCAGTGCTGCAAGTGAAATACACGCTTTCCATTGGTCAATATTATCACAATGTTTATCCAATCATAGTGCTGCAAGTAAAATACATCCTTTCCATTGGTCGATACTTTCACAAGGTTTAGCTAATCCCAGTGCTGCAAGTGAAATACAGCCTTTCAATTGGTCAATACTATCACGGGGTATGACTTATCAGAATTCTGCATCATAAACCTTGTAATAGTATTAATTCAAAATAAAAAAGTATACATGTACATGTATTTATACTTTGTCAATAGCACTTTGGCTATTACTTTACAATTTTGATATACTTTATGTACCAAGATCAATCATATCATGATTTCTTTGTGTATTTGGAAATATTTTCTCAAATAAGAAAAGTTCTGTTTTTCTCAAGCAACATCACACCCAAACTTGGCACATAATGAATCAAATATAAAATCAAGAAGTTGGATTTCAACTTTAATCCTTTAAAACAAGAAAGAAGTTAAAAACTTACAGAAAATGATGAATGTGTTTTTGATATTTTTTCAAAAGCTACATGCTTGATCCTTGGCAAGACCTTGAAATACAATTTTTTTATTCCTTAGGAAAGTACAAAAATGCAAATTAAAAGCAAAAAAAAGAGCACTCAGTTGCCCTAGGGATGAAAAGATTTCATAAAAATACCGATGGTGAACTTTTAGAGCAGTTTTCATCATAAATGTTGTTTGTTAACAGTAAATAAAAAAACAACAACAAGATACCCATAATGGCCCTAGGTCTCTTGTCTGCTGTTTAAAAAGCACAATAAGTTGTTCCCAGGTGAGCTAAAAAAACACCATGTATTTCTTACATTTCTTGATGCATTGAAAGACATAATTTAAAACAATTTCTCTCTACAAATGACCATTACATTACGGTGAAAATCTTCTACATCATATATGTAGTCCACAACTTCATTGATAGACATTCTTTGTACAAGGTGTTCATGAATTTGTTTTCCCTAGGTGAATTTATTTTCATGACTTGTGATATAAAGATTTCGAAATAAACCAATTTTTACATTAAACATTTTCAAAAATAACAAGAAATAAGGAGAGCACGTCTTGCAACCTGGACGTATTTCCATGTACTATATTCAACTGTCTTCCAAAGTTCACTTCTACACAGTATTATCACATGATCATAAAATTTCATTGCTCAAAATTTTACCATCACATTTTATTAGTGACACAGCACCAACAAAGTATTTTTTATTTGTGTGTGTCTGTGTGTCCATTTAGAATGACTGATGTACCTTTGCTGAAACACAAATGTATTCTCATTGTAATTAAAATATTAATTCATCTACAAAAAAGGTCCTTTTTGAACCCCTTCTCATAAGTACTTAATTGTTATATGATAATTCAAAATGTGCTTGCTTTATTTCAGTAGCCAATATAGAAAATATAGTATATACACTGAACTTAATTATTAAAATCTATTTTTTTTTACTGTCCAACTTATTTATATATTCTCGAAAGGAGTCTTTAGCACTTTTTTTCCCTATAAAACTTGAGAATACACAAACTTATTATCTTACGCACTTTTTATTTTAGTTTTGCATACTGTAATGTTACAAGCACTTCATCGATACAGATGTCTTCATTCTCATTTGAAGTGTCGATAAGTCTACAATCAACAACGGCACCCGTACTTTCATCTTTTCCTTGAATCAGAGCAATTAAGTCCCTCTCGCGGGCAAGTTCGATAAACTTGTATTTTGCCGCTTCAAACCAATCCCCGGATTCTGGCATTATGCCTGAAATATACAATGTATACATAGTTTAAATCTATTTTTCATGTATTAGCTGCAACACATAAACTGTAAAGTGAACTACCAATTTTTGTTTTTTAGTTTAGGATTTTTTTTTGTTTTCTGTCACACCAACACAGTAGAGGTCATATGGCGACTTTCCAGCTTTACAGGTAGAGGAAGACCTCAAATGCTTGTTTGTTTGTTTTTTGGGGTTTTACGTCACACCGGCACATTATAGGTTATATGGTGACTTTCAAACTTTACTGGTGAAGGAAGACCTCAGTTCTCTTCTGTGCATTATTTTAGGCTTAAATGGGTTCCAGAGTAGAACAACTGATGTTCTATAAGCTAGCTGGATAGTTTCCTCACATGAAAGAGTTCAAAGTCCCTGGCAAGATTCAAAGCCACAGCCTTGAGGTGCAAGTGTTAATTACCCTACCTGTATATTTGTTCTAAAGGGATTGCCTCTTTATTTGTCCTGAAGGGCCTACCTCTAAATTTGTCATGAAAGACATACCTCCATATTTATTCTAAAGGGCCAACCTCTAAATTTTTCCTGAGTGACACTCCTCTATATTTGTCTTAAAGGGTCTAATTTTACTTGTCCTAAGGACCTACAATGTAGTACATCTTTACCTGTCTTAAAGAGCCTTACTCTAAATTTGTCCTTAATGGGCTACCTCAATTCTTGTCCTAAAGAACATACTGGTACATCTTTAGTTATCCCAAAGGCTTGTTATTATCACTAATAGAACTCAAAAAGAAAAACTTTTCAAAACTTACTGCCAAGTGTTGCGTTGAAGGCCATAAGTGGAAGTTTGCAGAATTGTGGGACGAGAGGTTGAAGTTCTGAAATCATCATTACAGTGTACTCCCCTAAATCTGCTAAATACACTGACACCTATAAGATAAAACATATTACATTTAAAGTTTATTAATTTTGTTTAGTATTAATTCTTATCACATACCCATGTTGATTGTACGACTCCGTTAAAAACGGTATTGCACGGTCATGCATATATTTTCACGTGATGTCATTTGCGTTATACCTATAGATAAGAAATATTTTTAAACAAGCATTACTTTAACTTGAAAGTGTTTCATTTTAAAACTTCTCTTTAGATACCGCATAAAAAATGATTTAAATTATCTCTGAAGGTAATGTAGCCAGAGTATAACTTTACTGAAGAGAAAGACTAAAAATACCTCTGGGCATTATTTCAGATTTACTTTTTAAAGGAATTACTACCTCTGTGAATTATTTCAAGCAAGGGTGAGAAAATGTTTAAAACTAAAAACCTTCCAAAAGCTTGCTGCAATTGCTTTCCCACATCATAAAAACCATCAACCCATGCAGGAAAAAGACGAAATAAATTATTTGTTTCTGTGGCATTATCATCACCTTAGTGCAATAACTGATTAACTCCTATTAAATCAAGAAGGACTTATTTCGTTAATGCACTAAAGTGACATAATGTACCTTTAAGTAAATTGAAATCAGCTGCTATTACCAGATAAGATGAACGGTAAAAGGAACTGGAAATACTCACTAAATCTGTTCCGACTATACTGCACACTTTAGCTCTATACCAGATGCCATCTTTATGTCCGGAATACACTTTTCCTATTTCTATTTCTGACTCAGTCATCTGCAAAAATAAAACACAGAAATGATATAAGCACTGAATAATATATGATTGAAGTTTAAGTAAAACACATCTTGTAAAATACACCTTCTGTTAAACTGAAACAAGCCTTTCTCCTCATAGAAATAAAACTCAAAATTTCATTTTTGTATGCTTTGATGTTACCTCAACATTATAATATAGCAATAACAAGCCTTACCTTTGGTCAACTACTTCTTTTATTTATTTACATAAGTTCTGGAAAATTCAACAAAGGTAGAACCAATGACCTTTGCTATAGTTTGCTAAATTGCTTTCACATGAAAGAATTCAAAGAGGTCCACTTAACAACCCTACATGACAAGCATGTAAGTTCTAGGTCTTATGGTTTGGGACAAGATTTTACAAAGATTGCAATTATAAAATCTATTTTTAGCTTCTGTGGACCCAGATATGCAATGTATAAGAACCATTCAAACAATTTTGCTATAACTTCATTCAAGGAACATGGCAGACAAGTTTGATCAAATTTGAGACAAGTTTAATCAAAAGACGTCATATGAAAAATTGCGGTTGAATCACAAACAACTCACAGCAATCATTCTGAAACCTTCACCATGAGCTCATAATTCAAAATCCTTAAAAGGCTATGAAAGTAAAAATCCAATTTTAAGGGACATATATGAAAATGAAAATCTTATCTAAAAGGATGCAAAAATAAAAATCCAATTTTAAGGGATATGAAAATAAAATCCAATTTTAAGGGATATGAAAATAAAAATTCATTTTTAATTGATATGTAAATAAATAATCGAATTTTAAGGAATATAAAAATAAAATACAATTTTAAGGGATATTAAAATGACAATCAAACAGATGTAAAACTTACAGTTGCTGTCTGCACTGAATAATAAGCCCTCATGTCCAGTAGTAATGTGTTGAGTTTCGCCATCTCATTGTACGGAATGCACTACAAAATGTTGTAATAAAAAACAATCTGTAACATTTTTATTCAATCAAATATACTTGACACCAATGTTATCCTTTAATGAAACATAAATAGTATAGTTTATTACCAGTTACTTTTATTCTGAAAGTTGTATGTAAATGTAACACACAATGAAATCTATTTTGTGATGGAAGTAGAAATCTTACAAAAATAGCTCTCTCCTTCTGAATGTTTGTGGTATATACTTTTATAGCCTAGATTTCTACCCTAGTTGGTACAATAAAGTTTTTAATCAAGATATTAATAACTAGTGAACTAAGTAATATTGTTATATATTTTTCTAGTCCTTGGGGGACATTGAGTCTGGCACTTAAAGTGTTGAAAATTAAGTATCCCTCAAGACGGTGCTAGGGAACATGGGGGATGTTTCCCTTTTTCATTATCCCTCATATACACACTCAATCAAACCGAGTCCGCAGTTTTCATGTTATTTATTTTTTTATTAATGCTTCCTAGGGATAATCCTTTTTCCAATTTTATAAAGTATATTTCAAAATAAGGACAAAGTTGTTAACCTCGAAACAGTGAGTCTAAATACCCAAGACATATAACTCTTATTCTTTCCTTCAGCACTTTGTGCACAAATGATTTAAAGCTGCAGAACGGTAAGCAAATTTCATATCACAAAGGACTTAAAAATATGATCTTGAGTTTTTTAGGTCAAAGATAAAGGTCAAACTAAGATGAGAAAATGATTTGAGCCGCGTCAAGACAAAACCAACAGTCTGATCAGGATCCATGCTGTTCGCTATCAGCTTCTCTATTTGTTATAGGGTTTGTAAGCGAACAGCATGGATCCTGATCAGACTGCGCGGATGCGCAGGCTGGTCTGGGTCCATGCTGGTCGCAAATCCATTATGTTGGTTTTGTCATGATGCGGCTCATTTTTCATAACAGTGTGTTGATGGCCATGTCTGCTCAACAAATTTGTCATTCCTAGATGGATTTTAAAATAACTTGACATTAATGGATTAGACATGATGATCATGTGTCACAAGCAAGATTCAGAACTCCTACTCAACAAATCAATGTAAATCAATATACAAATGTTAATCAATATACAAATGTAAATCAATATACAAATGTAAATCAATATACAAATGTTAATCAATATACAAATGTTAATCAATATACAAATGTTAATCAATATACAAATGTTAATCAATATACAAATGTTAATCAAGATACAAATGTTAATCAATATAAAAGTTACCAGAATATTCAATCAACTTTGATTTAGAAACTTATCAAAATTTAATACTGTAAAATCATTATCATTCGTGGGGCATGAATTTTCATGGTTTTCGTGGGTAGGTCAATCGACGAATTTAAGATCCTACGAATTTTTATCCCAACAAATACTTCTTACCCTGTGTCTGTTCTATATATTACAAACATGCGTCGGCTCATTTCCGGCCGATTTTCGTGAAATGGATGTATATACATACAGTACAAATAATCAGGTTAGTGACAGATTAAATCTGTTTGCAATATTTAAGAAACTTGAAAAATAAACTTGATTATATGTTCTCAATTTACTTTCACAAATGTCGGTAGCATATACACACTTGATCGTTGTTGATTGTGTTAACAAGAATACTTGACATAATCGAGTTAATATGGGAACCCAGGCAATCCAATAATTATGGCTTATAAAAATGTCAGTTTGCTCTTATTAATTAAACAAGAGGGCCATGATGGCCCTGATGCCCCCCCCCCCCCCGGCAGGGTCAATTTTAGTCCAAGGGCTTTTATTTGTACAGACTTGGTAGACACCCGTAAAGAAGATGTTTCATGCTAAACATCTTAAGCTCATTGGGTTTTTTCAAAGAAGATTTGTTTAAGGTTTTTACTTTACACATATATAGTTAAAAACAATGACACCCCTAAGGGCGGGGCCAGATTTTGACCCCAGGGCTTTTTTTGGAACAAACTTTGTATGACACTTACTAGAAGATGTTTCCATGCTTAATATCTAAACTCTAGCCATTTGGGGGTTTTTCACAGAAGAGTTTTTTCAAATTTTTGCTATACACATATAAGGAAAATCAATGACCCCCAGGGCGGGGCAATTTTGATCCCACGGGCGTTTTATTTGAACAAACTTTGTAGACACTCACACTAGAAGATGTTTCATGCTTAAATATCTAAACTCTAGCTATTTGGGTTTTTTCAAAGAAGATTTTTTTAAGTTTTTGCTATACACATATAAGGAAAATCAATGACCCCCGGGGGAGGGCCAATTTTGACCCCAGGGCTTTTATTTGAACAAACTTGGTAGACACTCATTAGAAGATGTTTCATGCTAAATGTCTTAGCTCTAGCTCTTTGGGTTCTTTAAAAGAAGATTTTTTAAGTTTTTACTATATGCATATAGGGAAAATCAATGACCCCCTGGGGCGGGGCCAATTTTGACCCCGGGGCTTTTATTTGAACAAACTTGGTAGACACTCATTAGAAGATGTTTCATGCAAAATATCTTAGCTCTAGCTCTTTGGGTTCTTTAAAAGAAGATTTTTTAAGTTTTTACTATATGCATATAGGGAAAATCAATGACCCCCTGGGGCGGGGCCAATTTTGACCCCAGGGCTTTTATTTGAACAAACTTGGTAGACACTCACTAGAAGATGTTTCATGCCAAATATCTAAGCTCTAGCTCTTAGGTTTTTTTTTAGAGAAGATATTTAAAGTTTTTTCTTTCGGTTGCCATGGCAACCAGAGTTCTGCATGGAATTAAATTCTTTGAACAATTTTTAAAGGTGACCACCAAAGGAACATTCCTGTGAAGTTTGGATGAAATTGGCTTAGTGGTTTATGAGGAGATGTCATATAAAGTAAAAGTTTACGGACGGACAGACGCCGGCCGGACGCCGGACGAAAAGCGATCACAAAAGCTCACCCTGTCACTTTGTGACAGGTGAGCTAAAAAAGTCTTTGAAACCGAGCCTGCAACATTTTCAATTTTGTTGGCCCTTCTATAGGAATTCTTATTTTTCTATTTGATATTAATGTCGTAAATACACAAAACTATGACAAATACAATCGCTAAATCAGATGAATTGTACATTCTTTTGTCGTTTTTAATTGATTCAGTTTAAATGAATTTTAATCTGTATTTGTGCGAATGCTATAACATAAACATGAAAGACGCCGACGACTTTTTCTAGATCCACACATACAGTACTCGTGTTATTAACTCAGATTAATTTATATGCATGTAAATTTACACAGTCGCTGTGACGTTGCGTGTAGTTACTGTTAAATATGGTAAGACCAATTCAGGGTTTAAACTTTTTAAACTGGTTAAAACATGTCAGGTGTCGATTAAATTATGCGAAGTTTACATCGGCGAATTACAAGGGCAGTCTAATGGAGGTGCATATCATGTCACATAAATGTGTTAATTGCAGCCAATTATTGGCAGTAACTGTGCTATATTAAGAGTTATGCCCAGAGGCAAGGATTAAATTTATTGACAAGCGCTGTGTGACACGTTAAGAAATGTACATGCTGTAAGTAAAAATGTTCGCGATTAAGTTTAAGATTACTTTGCAAAAGGTTACTAAAGTTTTTTTTAAGAAAAAAAAATCCACGAATTTAAGAACCCATGAAAATGCCCATTTTGATAAAACCACGAAATTTCATGCCCACGAATATAAGTGAATTCGCAGTACTTTGGGTCAAGAAAATCATCAAAACTTTTATACTCACAACAAAGTTGGATGGATCATGTACGAAGGCCACATGTACATCTAGATATTCACCCACTTCTGGAATCTGGAATGGTCTCGGAACAGACTCATTGTCGTTGGAATTTTTCTGGCCCCCCGGACTTCGACCCAAAATTGGTCGACTCACATTTTGACTATTATCGAGAAACTCACTTGATTTTGATTTCATCGAAATGTCAGAATTTACACTAGCGTCTGAATTCTGAGATAGTTCCGAACTTTGTGACACATTCGGAGAAACTTGCTGACTAGAAACACTTGATGTAAAACCATTTGTTTGATTAGTTTGAATGACCGGATTGGAATTTGTATCAAGTTTTTTAACTGGAATAGAATCTTCTGTGGTATCGACAGGTCTGGGTAACGGAGAGAGAACTCGCTGGGGTGTGGATGAAGCAGAATTTGCCGGACTCGGTGATTCGGTTCTCGGTGTACCGATACCACCTCCTTCAGCTTCTATTGTACGTAGGATAGTGTCATTAATGTTAATATCATTGTCTTCGGATGTGTCGTATAGAATCACGCTCGGTCGACCTTCCCTGAAAAAAAAACCAAGCATGTATCATTTTCAGTCTTTCCTTTTAACACATTTTTCTGAACTTGATAATTCAACTTTCGGTTTAAATCCTAATAATCATGTTTGTCTATTCTGAAACTATACAGCACTACTGTCATATAACAAAATATAGTTGTGACCCTCGTCATGGCCGCACAGAATTAAACGGCCGGGAAAAAGATGCATTCACACTCGATCACACAATACATGAATAATATGTCCAGCTACTGGATGAATAACATATTCTCACTCTTAACTTAATCTTTACTTTTCATTTTGTATATGTATAATACACTTCAAATTCCAATATAATTCAAGTATTTTGAAACCTTTTTCAGACTGCACACTTTGACTTGATGTTATTTGTGCTATATACAAAAATAGCTTTGAAGTGTGCTAATGTTAGCTTTACACTATAGGCGTGTCAATGAAAAAAATTTCTTTTTTTTGGATATGTGATAAATAGAATATTATATCTGTGTAAATTCAATACCAAATTTATCGAACTCGAATAAAATAATAAATTAATATTACGCTTACCAAAGGTTTGCATTATATGATTTTTATTCAACTCCTTCAATAAATTTAGTATTAATCTACAATATCCTCTATGTACAATGTTAAAAACTGACATGTAATCTATGCAGCCTAGGTAGGCTGAATATTTAATAATGAAAATGACATCCTTTTCAAAAAAAAATTTTTTTTTTCTTCTTAGAAATGAGAAGATACCCTTATCATACATTAACATGCTTTGTCAAATGTCAAGTAATTCCACAAAACACTTAAACCTTTAAAAAGACTGAAAGTATACCTAATACATTCCCAAAAAGTTGTGTATTTAGTAATACATTTCAAATTGAGATTCAAGGTCAAAGGTCATGCAAAGGTCATGAATTACCTGTCAACAACCTCGGCAACACAAGTTTTACCAAGGGCAATGTCACAGATTTTCTCCAGTGCAGTAATGTTAGTAGACACTTCTTCTAGACCGTATAAGCACACTTCAACTGCCTAAAGAAAAAGAATTGATAATAAGATGTTATTAATATAGGATGTCACACGAGTTGAAATTAATAGATGTTATCTTTGATTAGGAATATTTTGTTTTTTCCCCAGCTAATCCGGGGCTACAAACAAACAAACTTTTACAGCTACAACTTCAAAAATTAAGCGAAAAGATTGACTAATCTATTGTGAACAACAGCTTGCCACTCAACTTTATTTGTTTTGAAGACACTGTTGGCTGACTAACTTTAAATTTTTATTGTGACATCCCAAGATTTGATAATGGTCAGTCCCAAAAAATTAATCATGGAATGTCCCAAAAAATTGATCATGGAATGTCCCAAAAATGTAGGCTGGGACAAATTCATTAAAGAAATTCAGCAAGTTATGTCCATGAAAGGCTCCATCAAATGAAGCCTGTAACATTGTCAACTTTGTTGTCTTGAACGTTCTTCAGGAATTCTTTATTCTCTATTTTAATGGTTAAACAGAATGACTCGAGTTTGATATTTGGTATATTCACCTGATATGGGAGCATTTTGTTTATCTGGGGGTCTATTGGATGCAGTTGCTCTGGAATCAGCTCATCTGTATCACCATGATCCAAGAAATAACACTGAATCTGAATAATACAACAAATAATCATCATTTAAATAAAATTATAGTACTTCCTTCAACAAACATAAGAAAATAAAATTAAAGTATTTCCTGTGACAAACATAAGAAGTTCAACTACAACATGTATTTTATATCTTTTAATTCTAAAGAAGCAAATTGCTAGATAGCTTCATCAGTACTTTGGGTTTTATGTCACACCAACACATAGGTCATATGGCGACTTTCCAGCTTAACAGGTGGAGGAAGACCTCAAGTGGCCTCGTGTGCATTATTTTAGGCAATAATGTGTATCGGAGTATAATGACCGACATTCCTTAAGCTAGCTGAATAGCTTTCTTAATAAAATAATCCAAAGTTCCTGGCGGAATTCGAACCTATAGCAGTGAGAGGCAAGCAGTTTGAAGTCAACAACCTTTACCACTTGGCCACTGATTAATCATGACAAATATTTTCAAATGCGAGACTTAATTTAATAATACGCAACTCTAAACACTAAATTTTAGCAAGAGCACTGAAAAAGGCAGCAATTACATTTTTGGTCTGAACAATACTAAAAATAGGAAGTCAAGCCTGAAGCTTATTTCCACAACTATCGATTTCATTTTCTGGTTGTGACCCCAAAGGGACTTGAACACTTGACTTAGACTCGAACCCTAGATTAAGTGGTTGTAGCACAGTAGGGTCTTGAACACTAAACTGATATCTAAACCTTAGACTGAAAGGCCGACATCTTAACCACTAAAACCTTTACCTTTTTTCCATCCTGTACTGACATAACTCGCACCCTGTGATACAAGCCGTCGTCGTATGCAATATAGGTATGACCCTCGGTGATAGGAGTTTCTGGAGAACTGTTCCTGAAAGCTTCTTGTAACTTAGACTGGTAACTGTCCAGCTTATCACTGTAGTTTTCACCAACCAGTCTGAGCATCACGGACTCCGTAGATGAGCTTATGTACGTAACATGTACATCCCACTCTTTGTCTTCCGGTAGCTTAAGATCAACTGAAAAACACGGAAAATAAGTTGTTGTAAATTAATAATTTTTTCTTGAAAACCCTTTATCTTATTTCTATCTTGTACTGAATCATTAATGATTCATTTTTATTCATGTACCAGCTTTATTTATAGCATAAATATTTGTCTCTACAGGTTATCATATTTTTTTGCCGCTAAACGCCAGAACGATGTGTTTTGCACCTTAAAAGCATGTTCCGTAGTGATGTGGCTTCCTGTAATTTTATTATGTTTTGCACTTATGAAGGCATTTAGCTGAAACGTATGCAATGAATAATTACTGAATGTTCGTGCTTGTGTGGATTGTTTGTTAATTTCATTTATTTTAATAAGAGCTGTCAGTAGAGCAGTGTGGCTTGACTTATCCTCTGTGCTTGATTGTAAAACAAAGAGCCAGGAATATTAAAGTTAAAAAAGGGCCATAATTCTGTCAATATCCATGTTTAGAATTATCGGCCTTAAAAAGTGACCTCCTACTATGCTTTCAAATATGTGTGTTAAGTTTCAACCCATTCCCTTAAGTAGTAGTGGAGATACCAGCCCTCTCACAAAAACTTAACCAAGTGCGACACAACACTTGGGGTATTACAGTAGCTTTCCTTATTCTTCCAATAGTTGGACTAGAATAATCAAATAATGTGGTGTTTAATGGTTCACATACTTAACAATGAAACACTGACCCAATTAAATCAGAGAATTCAAGTTCAAGTATAAGTCTAGGCCTAGACATTAAGAAGTTGGATTTCATAACTTTCAGGCTCTGAAGACCAAAGAATATCATATTTTTGCACTATTACTTGCATTAACTGAATGGATAAGCATAATTTATTTACCAGGATGTAGTGAGTCTTCATCGGCTTTTGTTGCCATGACAACACCAGCTTGTATGAGCTTCTCGTTTATGCTAAGTTTCTCGTCACTTTTTAAATATATCACAACTTCTAACATATCATCTGCAATACAAAAACATTCCATATCATACTAGTGTTACAGGAGGGGTGTTCAATAGTATATATAATCAGTTCAATAAAACAAAGACATTTCTTTAGTTTTCGACCTTTTGTCTCCTTCAGAAAAAATTGATGTTTATAAAACAACAAATGATGCAACGTCCATTTAACTATATGCTAAACAAAAATAAAAACTTTGTCAAATTAAAAACGGATTAAATGTTGGAGGCTTTTATTTATTTTTTTTAATAAAAAAGGATGTTAAAAAAATTATGTTTTATTCAAACATGATGTGTTCTGATCAAATTTTCAATTGACCATTGTATACTTCATTTTTTTTATGTTTATAAAATTCTGTATGTTAATATTCATGTAAGTTGCCTAAGTCAATATCTACATGTACATGCATGTGGAATGTATGGAAATATTCATGTAAGTGCCTTATTCATGTCGAAAACCACAGAAATATAAAATTCATGTAAAAGCTGTCAAAAAATTCATGTAAAAGACAGTGAGTAAATGTTAAAGAAAGTAATTTCCTACCACAAGCACTTTGTGGAATGGCAATCAGTGCTTGTTCTTGTACTTCATCAGCAAACAATGTGGAAGCAGTTTCTCCCCATTCTGACTCACCCTGGAATTACAAATTTTATACACGCACCCTGAAATACTGTTTGACATTTTGATATTATTTTCGGCCATCGATATATCAATGTAAGGATCTTACACTGGCTACTAGTACAGACCAGCATATCTAGCTGGTGGGTAATTGTTTATGGCAGTAATGAGGCTCTGTTGAGTTTCCGCTAGACATTTACATGAGAGCTAGATATTTGTGTCTGAGACGACAGCCGGTGTTTGGTTCTTTTCATGCATAATAAAAATGAATCATATTTCTGGAAGAAATTACGAGATCTGATATTTTCATATCACACTTTTTTCTTGTAAAGGCATTAGGATTTACAACTTCATTCAATAATGGCAAAACGTTGCCATCCTAAGAATGCAATTCATTCATAAAGATGCACTGTGCATGTATGAGTTTACAGTTTAACTCTGTCACATTTTCAACAGAAAGGCCTCTGAACTATGAAACTATAAACCTTTTATAGGTCACCAAACTATAAAACAATCTATTATCATACCTGTAATGGCTGTATACCATACAGACTACAGCTGATGGCCTGGCACGGATATTTAGCCAGTTCCGGAGACAACCAGCGTATATCGTCCTCCTTAACTGATTCAACATTACCGTAATCTACAAACAGCAGTTCCACTGTACCCTGTAATACAAAATATTTTATTACTTAAAAGAAATCAACTGAGGTCAAAAAGCTTAAATACATCAAATATAAATTTCTTACATCAATCAGCATTGACACTTAAAAGTGAAAAATATGCAAATGATAATTTAAGATAGATACTCAGTAATAAATTGTAAATAATATTTTTTTAAGCTATTCTTAGCCCAGTTTGAATGAAAATTGCAATGTTTTTCAACTTAAGTAATTTTTCTTTTTTCAAATTTAAATTCTGGAAAAAAACGTGAAAATGAATGATGTGAAATTTTGCACACAAGTTATTGGCCTATTCCTACATCAAATGGAATATTTACATGTATTTTAAAAAATATTTCCAGTCCTGTCATGTCGAAAAACGTCAGTGGAGTCCCTTTAATATTGCATTTCCACAGACAAATGATAATTTACATATAGTACAGTGTAATTGTGAACACCTGTGATACCATTATAGGTCAAAAAGTTCAAAGTTTGGAAGTATTCACAATTCAGAAATTTTGAATGCAATGAATCAGACTGAACATTAAACAAAAGTTTTAAGGTTTGAAAATATAGAAAAAATTTACAGCTTTAACTTGATAGCCTTTGTTACAATGACATGATTAATCCATTAATCCTTTATACTGCTGTATGTGTGTAATTAATTTATCAGAATTCCGATTTGAAACAGTCCAATCAGAGTTTTAGGGGTTCCAATATCAAAATACAAAGAAAAATTTTTTTTTCTATTGATACGCCTATAACACTTATCAATAGACGAGATACTTTGTTTACTTTTTCTCTCTCCCTCATGTCCTTTTTTAATTTTTTGCTTGAGTTTAAAGCCACATCAACTTTGCAAAGGTCATATGAAACTTTTCCTGTTGTATTGAAACATAAATAAATGAAGCTGCAATGCTCATCATCATCATTTCAAGCATGAGTGGAGAACCTTTATTTATGATAATTGGACAACTTCCTCACATGAATGAATGGACTTACTCCAGAACTAAAAATACCGAGCTAATCCAGGGGTAGAAATAAACTTTTTTACAATTACAGCTTAGAAAATAAGTGCAACAGGTTGAATAATCTATTGTGACTGGTAGTGCACCATGAATATATAAACTAGTAAAAGTATGTTTGTACCCGGGGATTAGCTTGGAAAAAACGCACATTTGCCGAGTTTCTGGATAACATTCATTCAACATCTATGACATTGAGATTCATACTGACTTACATCTGGTCTATGTTGAAGAATCTGAGCTCTCGTCCACGCACCATCTCCACTAAATAACGCCGCACAATATCTCCCCTTCTCCAAATCTTTACTCGGTGGACTGCTTGTTGACTATAGAGAAACAGAAATCAAACAGTGAGCAATAGAATAACATACCATTACAGCAACATTATCCACGGATGACCGTGATTTGTTATCTTAAGCATTTTACAGTGCTAGTTTGATTCACTATATTTTCTATTGATCCAAGCATTCTATGATGAAGAAATTTTGCAGATATATCAAATTTACATTTGATATTTAAAAAATATTCAACTATTTTCTTTCTTAACGGATATTTGTTGAGACTATATAACATACACAGTAATGGTGTTGACTCTTGGACAAGGACAAATTTAGGGCATCAAACAATACATAATTTAGCTCTCATATCTGCATAAACAATAAACATCAAACCAATGGTTGCATGCATTTTAAAAGGTTCCCCCTTACTTCACTTCAATGTTGTAACATTTTTCTGGTTCTTCGAGAACACTTACTCAAGCACATGTAATCCTGAAGATTGTATTGTGCTTAAGCCAGTGCTAGGGAGCATAATAGATGTTGCACTTTTACATTATCTCTCATGAGAAAACATAATCTTGAGTTTGTTATCTTCATTTGTTGTTTTCATTGCTTCAGAGGGATCTCCCATTTCCCATACTGTTTTGTCAATATTGCAATTTTAACATACAGGTCAACAGATTTAATTTAGCTTTATAAGTGACTGTAAGGGAAGTCTCAGGACTCCAGTCCATGATGCTTAGCATAAGGTTGCAACTCTTAAGGAGATACTTTTATACAAATTAAATGCTTCAGCAGTACACATTTCACTAACACTTTGTTCACAGGTCACACTCTATTCTTATTCACATTTCATTCACAAATTCTAGAACTTTGTACTAAGCTTCACACTCTGTTCACAGTTTCAAACTTTCTTCCACATTGTCACACTTTCTTCCCCAGTTTCACACTTTATTCAGTTTCACACTTTCTTCCATAGTATTACACTTTGGTCTTAGATTCACACGTTGTTTTTTAGTTTCACACTTTAAACAGTGCACTAACTATTCATTTACTTTCATTCATATTAAAGATAAAATCTCTGATTTGTCGTATATAATCAAAAACTCTAATTTGAATTTGCTGTAGCTTTTGGCCTTTCGGCTTTCTTCACCGGCATTTATTATACATACAAATATATTCAGACAAACCATTACCTCACTTCCCTTGTTTATATAATATATTAGTACATATCTAACCTGACAATGGGTCTGTAGCTGTTCAGCAATTGTATCTATAATACTGTCTTCTCTTTGTACACAGAAATAACCAGGGTTGTATATAAATGTCATATAGACTGTGACAGGATCATTACTCGAGATCTGTAGGTCCTTTGGTATCTCTAAATTCTGAAAACATATATCAATACAGTGAAGAATTATAGCAAATATCTTCCATTCTTTAATTAGCAATGTTAGTTTGTTTGTATGTTTGATTGGGTTTTTAAAAGTCCAACTGGGGCACAGGGAAAGGTCAATTTTTGGCGGGCGGTTTTCCGCTTTTTCTGGTTTGGGGGAAAAACCCCAGGGGCCGTTCCAGCATTATTTCAGGCATCCTGAGTAGAACCACCAACGTTCTGTAAGCCAGCTGGATAGCTTCCTCATATGAAAGAATCCAAAGTCCCTGTTGGTATTCATACGCACAGCGGTGAGGGGCAAGTGGTTTGAAGTTAACAACCTTAACCACTCTGCCAATGGTGCCTCAGCAATGTTAGTTCTTTATTCTGAAACAAACTTCAATACAGTGACTGATTATTGTAAACATAATGCATTCTTAAATTAGCCTTATTAGTAGTAATAGTAATTGCATAATTACTCAGAATTACTTTTTAAGATTGTGGATGGAACTAACTACTGAATGTTAGCGGTAAGTTAGTGTAATGAGTAATTGTAATACCAAATTGAAAAATTAATAGTAAGTACATGTATATTATATTGCTATTTGACCACACAATAAGATTCAAAACAAGCTTTCTACATTAGTATACAAGTAATAGTAACTAATTCTTCTATCTAACTTTACTTGATATGCAATCATCATTCACCAATGTATTACAGTAATTGTAAATAGTTGTGTGTTAAAAGCATTTGTGGTTATTGCTACAGTTACAAACAAGTGAAGCTATTACTAGTTATTGTGAAGTTAAGCTGGGTCCAGCAACTGTAAGGTAAAGCTGTTATGTAAAGTTGTACCTAGTAATTGTATGGTTAAACTGTACCTAGTAATTGTAAGGAAAAGCTGTAACTAGTAATTGTAAGATAATTCAGCTGTTACTAGTAATTGCAAGGTAGTAATAGTAAGGTAAAGCTATTACTAGTAACTGCAAAGCAAAGTTATTACTAGTAATGGTAAAGTAAAGGAGTTAAGACAAAGCTGTTATAGGCAGTTTAAAGATGCAGTGTAGCTGTAACTAGAAATGGTAATTTGTAGCTGTTACTAGTAATTAAAATGTAAAGCTGTAAATAGTAATACTGTAATGCAAATATGAGACAAGCTAATACTAATAATTGTAATGCAAAGCTGTGAATGGTACATTTACTTGTAATAAAGAAATTGTAAGGTTAAGTGTAGTTGTAATTAGAAATGGTAATTTGAGCTGTTACTAGTAATTTTAAGGCAGAACTGTTTCTAGAAGTTGTAGCAATTTTAAAGTAAAGTGTAGTTGTACTCTTGCACTGTTACCAGTAATTAAATAGTGTAGTGTTGTTGTTTATTGTAACTGTTCAGTGTAGCATGAGTTATTGTTATGTGAATATTAACAAGTTTGAATTGCATAGAACAAACAAATATGTTATTAGAATACTGTATTGGTGCATATAGTCATTATTGTACATAGCTCAGAGTCAGTTCACATTATTGGCATAGGCAAGTATTATGCCCTTGCTCTTTTATTTAGATAGCTTCTTTAAATACTTTCTGACTTTACAAGAAAAAGAACACATAAAGATCTGGGTGCTTTAAGGTAACATTATTTATATACCTTTAAAACAGAATTCTGTTTATCTTTTGTTTCAACATACAGACCATACAAATCTTTCACTTCTGATTTACATGGTGATTCTAGAGCTGATTTATTTTCAGCTTTTACAGCAGAGTTATCTGGAGTGTTCTGTTTTTCTTGATTTTCACTTCCATTCACCTTAAGGTGAAATGCATAAATTTTATTCAAATCAAAGCAAAATAGCAACAAAAATAGTTTTAGTCACATTTAATTCTTAAAAGAAATAAGGTTAACACACTGCAAAACCTATAAAGTTGTGGAAAATGTGTACATTTACAAGATTTATGAATATATGTCTTCCTGTGGAAAGTAGCAGCACACCGTTATTATCAGTATAAACAGAAACAAGAGCTGTCCGTAAGACAGCGCGCTCGACTTTTTTATTGCTTGCCAATAAAAAAAGTTTTTGCAGTAAAAGGCAATACAAGAATCTCTGTATTTTTAAAGTGAACTAGTTGTTTGATACCCTTGAATATTACAGCAATGTTTATATGACATAATTTATGGTAAAGTGAACAAGTGGATAGGAATGAATTTTTTTAGATTTTTTAAGTTTTTTAGTGCTTGCCTATAATACAAAACATTGACAGTTAAGGGCCATAATTCAAATAAAATCTTTGACAGAATTACCTTCTCCTGGACATGTTTGGGAATCATGATTGTAAACAAGTATTCCAACTTTCAAATTAATATCTCAAACAGTTCAGTCAAAAAGTGGACTGGTACTAAAAACTTAAACCAAGATTCTAAGTCGATAAAAGGCCTTAATTTTTAAAACAAATCCTTGACAGAGTTACCTTCTCTTGCGTACAGATGGGGGTAATGATGTGAAATAGCATTAAAAGTTTCAAAGCAATATCTCAAAGGGTTAAGGCAATAAGTGGATTTTACCCATATTCAATGTATTTTCTAAGTCAAAAAGGGGCATAATTCTGTCAAAAACCTTGACAGAGTTATGTCCTCTTGTCTGTTGATGAAGGTCGTGATGGTAAACAAGTATGGTCAGTTTCAAAGCAATACCTCCAATGGTTTTGAAATAAAGTGAGGTGGTACAAAAAACTTAACCAAGCTCAATACACTTTCTAAGTCAAAAAAGGGCCATAATTCTGTCAAAAACCTTGACAGAGTTATGTACTCTTGTCTGTAGATGGAGGTTATGATGGTGAACAAGTATGGTAAGTTTCAAAGCCATACTTGTAATACTTCTGAAATAAAGTGGGGTGGTACGAAAAACTTAACCAAGGTGTGACGCCAACGCCGACGCCGGGGCGAGTAGGATAGCTCCCCTTTTCATAGAAAAGTCGAGCTAAAAAGCATGACTAAACACATGATTATACTGCATATTCCTACAACTATATATAATATATATACCATATACACTAGAGAATTGTTTTCTACGTGAAAATGAATTGAAGTATATACCGTACTAGACCCAAACCATTTGCTAAACAATAACAGCATATTTTTTTATTATAGCTAACAACCATTACACCTTAGAAATATGAAAAATTTAGTCTCAGTACAGAAATAAATAGGGCCAGAAAAGGGGATGCTATGAACAATTTACAGGAGTTCATTTACTGGTCTTTCACTGAACAAAGCAATTTTTAATAATTATCTGTCATAATAAGGCCAATAATAAACATTGTTTGGTTGTCACAACATTCTTTTTGCATCCTCTGATCTGATATGATTCTCTTAAAGTGACATCATGCCTGTCCAAGTGTATATAGTGAGTGAACAGGTGAAAGTCAAAATAAGTTTACATTTTGCCATAATTCCATATAATATTATAATTAGCTGCGCATGAATGATAAATAACTCAAGTGGCCAAAAAAGGTTTCTGTAAATATCCATTGGAATTTACCTGTAATGTTCAATTTATATACCCCCCAGCCCTTTTATATTTTAGGCAGATTAATATTTCATCCTTAACATTTCCAATATCAACTGTTGGCCAATTACCATTTAAACAGTCAATTTTTTTAAATATAAAGTCAATTCAGTACAACTTGACAATGCAAAAATGGGCATAATTTCACTTAAATGAAATGAGTACATAAGCATCTCTAAGAATAATTTATTTCAAAGAATCATTTATTTACAAAGTGACTTTATCACCAAATATTTTTTATTTTTATACAGGTTCAAAAAGGGAAAACATCAAGAAAGTCATCCTGTCTAGCATATGGTCTGAATCCAGTACAGTACACATATGTATGTACCCATGTCCCAAGGTTACATGTTACTCAAACTATCAGACTAGATATTAAAACTAAAACTATAATTTAATTTATGCATGCTGTTAGAATATGATAACAGAAACATTTTAAGCAAGGTATACAATAACTTATATTTTTTCTTGTTTTCATGTAGCTTACTTCCGATTGAATAAAAAAGCAAAGTTTTGCTAAATATACATGTATTTCTGTCATCATATTCTAACAACCCATCACCAGACTGATACAATTGACAAAAACATTGTGGACTGTACATACAGTGCTACTTCATTTAGAAATAAGAAAAACTCATACATAACAAAAAAAAAAATTTCTGTCTTATGCTTAGTTAATGGATATTTTCCAAAGTGGTAGATTTTCACAGAATAAAAGCAAACATGTACAGTCAAGAATATTTATTAATATTTGCAAGATGCAAAGAGCTTTATTTCATGATTTTTTTTTAATATAAAACATTATCTGCAAAGCTATTTCCTGAGAATAACAAATGACTATAAATATACATAATAATTATATATATGTATAACGTTCAAGTTGTATAATACATACCATATTTGGATCTTCAATAACTGGATATACTAATTCTCTATCTGTATTTGGTACACTGAAAATAACAAGAGCTGTAAGTAGGACAGTGTGCTCCACTATTCTCCGAGCTTGATAGTAAAACAAGAGCTTGGAAAATAACAAGAGGTGTAAGTAGGACAGTGAGCTCCACTATTCTCTGAGCTTGATAGTAAAAACAAGAAGCTTGGATAATAACAAGAGCTGTAAGTAGGACAGTGAGCACCACTATTCTCTGAGCTTGATAGTAAAACAAGAGCTTGGAAAATAACAAGAGCTGTAAGTAGGACAGTGAGCACCACTATTCTCTGAGCTTGATAGTAAAACAAGAGCTTGGAAAATAACAAGAGGTGTAAGTAGGACAGTGTGCTCCACTATTCTCTGAGCTTGACAGTAAAACAAGAGCTTGGAAAATAACAAGAGCTGTAAGTAGGACAGTGAGCTCCACTAATCTCTGAGCTTGATAGTAAAACAAGAGCTTGGAAAATAACAAGAGCTGTAAGTAGGACAGTGTGCTCCACTATTCTCCGAGCTTGATAGTGAAACAAGAGCTTGGAAAATAACAAGAGCTGTAAGTAGGACAGTGTGCTCCACTAATCTCTGAGCTTGATAGTAAAACAAGAGCTTGGAAAATAACAAGAGCTGTAAGTAGGACAGTGTGCTCCACTAATCTCCGAGCTTGATAGTAAAACAAGAGCTTGGAAATAACAAAAGCTGTAAGTAGGACAGTGAGCTCCACTATTCTCTGAGCTTGATAGTAAAACAAGAGCTTGGATAATAACAAGAGCTGTAAGTAGGACAGTGAGCACCACTATTCTCTGAGCTTGATAGTAAAACAAGAGCTTGGAAAATAACAAGAGCTGTAAGTAGGACAGTGTGCTCCACTAATCTCCGAGCTTGATAGTAAAACAAGAGCTTGGAAAATAACAAGAGCTGTAAGTAGGACAGTGTGCTCCACTAATCTCCGAGCTTGATTGTAAAACAGGAGCTTGGAAAATAACAAGAGCTGTAAGTAGGACAGTGTGCTCCACTAATCTCCGAGCTTGATAGTAAAACAAAACCCTTGGTACTGTAAAAATTTTTTGTAAGTTCAAAAAGGGCCATAAATCTGTCAAAATATATGTAAGTGTTAAAGGCCTTGGATAGTGACCTCCTATTATGCTCTCAAATAGGTGTGTGAAGTTTTAACTCATTTCCTTCAGTAGTTTTGGAGATACCAACTTGCATGCAAAATCTTAACCCAAGTATGATGGCAACACCAGTCATGACACTGGGATGAGTACAATGACTCTCCCATTTCTTTGAATAGTCGAGCTAAAACTGGAAAAGAAATATCTACTTCTGTCTTTCTTTGCATGAAACTTTTATTTAGCATCACATGAACTGTCAACATCGACAAATTTCATAACTAAACACATGGCCTGCTCTAAACACATGGCCTGCTGGCAGCAACAGATTCAAGCCATGCAACCAGTTCAAGACCAACATCAACTGGCATGTCTGTGCTGCCACATCCGGGTCTACAGTATAACTATTAAATTAAATTATTTTGAAAGATAGACAAGTCCATTTAAGATATGTAGTGAGGTAAGGCTGAACATATTTTTCATGAGCTTAGTTTTTCTTTTATTTTCCCTGAAAAACTATGTTAATTCATCTTGAGGTGGAATGCTGCTGCAGCAGTTAAGCCGGGTCAAGGTAAAATAATTTTAACAGTCTTACGTCTCAAATATTTTGAAAGATGGACAAGTCCATGTAAGAGATTTAGTGTGGTAAGTCTTAGCATATTTTCATAAGCTTAGTTTTTCTTTTATTTTTGCTGAAAAACTATGTTTTTTCATCCACAGGCAGAATGCCGCTACAACAGTTAAGCCAGATCAAGGTTTAATAATTTTAACAGTCTTACGCCTCAACTTTGGCAATATCCCTCCATGATTTTACAAGCTTCATTAGTTCTGCCGGCGGGTCCTCGTTGTACTTTTCCTTATATTCATGTGGTATACGAGTTCCCCATAATCCATTCTTCTTCTTCTCTAGCATCTGCAAAGAAAATTTAACTTTGTGCAAGAATTAAGTTTTATGCTCACTATGCCTAATTACCATGTGGCTTTTTGTGATCAGCATAGGGCAGAAAATCAATATAAATAACAGTCCAGGTAGAATTAGCAGGAATGAGTCATCTTCACCTTATGTGAAGAACAGGTATTCAAAATCCGTGGCAGGATTCAAACTTCAAGCTGTGATGGCAAAGCAATAGGTGGTCAGTGACCCTAACCACTTGGCCATATAAAAGGCCACTCTATTTTTAGACACATAAATTATCACCATGATTACGTCTAATATTGAGAGACACAAACCAGATTACATTCTTGAATTGATAAGCATTTAATTATACTAAGTATTTCACATTATCCTCATATTTTGGTAAACAGCATCACATCAATGCTATTAAGAACACTTTAATCAAATTAAATAAACCACGAAACAAATGACAAGACCTTCAGAACAAGATATGTTTGTAAAACATGTATGCCCCCTATCAGCAGCCAATTAGTCATGTGATAAGGTTATTATGCATGACTTCTGACCCAGTGATCAAACAATTAATAAGGGTTATCAAATATCTACTGGTCATGACCTCAACCTTTAACCCCTTGACCCAAAACTCAATAGGGGTCATCTGCTGGTCACGACCAATCATCATACAAAGTTTGAAGTTCCTAGGCCTAAGCGTTTTTAGTTAATTGATCGGAAACCGTTTTAACATACAAGGTCAATGTGAACTTGACCTTTGACCCCAAAATCAATAGGGGTCATCTGCTGGTCATGACCAATCACCATGCCAAGTTTGAAGTTCCTAGGCCGAAGCGTTCTTTAGTTATTGATCAGAAACCGTTTTTACATACAATGTCAATGTGACCTTGACCTTTGACCCCTTGATCCCAAAATCAATAGGGGTAATCTGCTGGTCATGACAAATCACCATACCATGTTTGAAGTTCCTAGGCCTAAGCTTTCTTAAGTTATTGATCAGAAACCGTTTTTACTTACAAGGTCAATGTGACCTTGACCTTTGACCCCTTGACCCAAAACTCAAACGGGGTCATCTGCTGGTCACCACCAATCATCATACAAAGTTTGAAGTTCCTAGGCCTAAGCGTTTTTTAGTTAATTGATCGGAAACCGTTTTAACATACAAGGTCAATGTGATCTTGACCTTTGACACCTTGACCCCAAAATCAATAGGTCATCTGCTGGTCATGACCAATCACCATACCAAGTTTGAAGTTCCTAGGTCTAAGGGTTCTTAAGTTATTGATTGGAAAGCATTTTTACCTAAGAGGTCAATGTGACCTTGACCTTTGACCCCTTGACCCCAAAATCATAGGGGTCATCTGCTGATCATGACCAATCCCCATATCAAGTTTGAAGTCCCTAGGCCTAAGGGTTCTTTCGTTATTGATCGGAAACCGTTTTTACCTACAAGGTCAATGTGACCTTGACCTTTGACCCCTTAACCCCAAAATCAATAGGGGTCATCTGCTGGTCATGACAAATCACCATACCAAGTTTGAAGTTCCTAGGTCTAAGGGTTCTTTTGTTATTGATCGGAAACCGTTTTTACCCAAGAGGTCAATGTGACCTTGACCTTTGACCCCTTGACCCCAAAATCAATAGGGGTCATCTGCTGATCATGACCAATCACCATACCAAGTTTGAAGTTCCTAGGCCTTAAAGTTCTTTAGTTATTGATCGGAAACCGTTTTTGCTTACAAGGTCAATGTGACCTTGACCTTTGACCCCTTGACCCCAAAATCAATAGGGGTCATCTACTGATCATGACCAATCACCATACCAAGTTTGAAGTTCCTAGGCCTTAAAGTTCTTTAGTTATTGATCGTAAACCATTTTTGCTTACAAGGTCAATGTGACCTTGACCTTTGACCCCTTGACCCCAAAATCAATAGGGTCATCTACTGATCATGACCAATCACCATACCAAGTTTGAAGTTCCTAGGCCTTAAAGTTCTTAAGTTATTGATCGGAAACCGTTTTTGCTTACAAGGTCAATGTGACCTTGACCTTTGACCCCAAAATCAATAGGGGTCATCTACTGATCATGACCAATCACCATACCAAGTTTGAAGTTCCTAGGCTTTAAAGTTCTTTAGATATTGATTGGAAACTGTTTTTGCTTACAAGGTCATTGTGACCTTGACCTTTGACCCCTTGACCCCAAAATCAATAGGGGTCATCTACTGATCATGACCAATCACCATACCAAGTTTGAAGTTCCTAGGCCTTAAAGTTCTTTAGTTATTGATCGGAAACCGTTTTTGCTTACAAGGTCAATGTGACCTTGACCTTTGACCCCTTGACCCCAAAATCAATAGGGGTCATCTACTGATCATGACCAATCACCATACAAAGTTTGAAGTTCCTAGGCTTTAAAGTTCTTTATTTATTGATCGGAAACCGTTTTTGCTTACAAGGTCAATGTGACCTTGACCTTTGACCCCTTGACCCCAAAATCAATAGGGGTCATCTACTGATCATGACCAATCACCATACCAAGTTTGAAGTTCCTAGGCCTTAAGTTCTTTAGTTATTGATCGGAAACCGTTTTTTGCTTACAAGGTCAATGTGACCTTGACCTTTGACCCCAAAATCAATAGGGGTCATCTACTGGTCATGACCAATCACCATACCAAGTTTGAAGTTCCTAGGCCTAAGGGTTCTTTAGTTATCACTCGGAAACCATTTGGTCTACGGACCGACGGACCGACAAGTGCAAAGCAATATACCCCCTTTTCTTCGAAATGGGGGCATAATGATTACATGATACATATACATGTTAAAACCATTAAGTCTGGTGTAGCCCGAGCCAGTATGTCTCCTTCTTTCTTGGTATTGGCTTATGAACCTAATCCCCAAAAGAACATGGATGATAGCAAAGCGTTTGCAACCATCCAGTGTTTATGCCCAAGAAAGAAGGGCACCTTGAAGAGCAATACAAGTGTATGTTAACATAAAATACTGAAATGTTCAAGAAAATATAACATTTATACATTATATGTTATAAGAGGTTGAACATCTATATTCCTTACACTAAAATTAAATACATAACAAATTAACAATTAAAAACAATTAACTGTTACCTCTTTCACTCTTGATTTAACTTTAGCAAGCTGTTCTCTTGATAACGAGGTCCCTACAGTCTCCTCCTTGGCTGAAATATCATTATAGGTTGGTAAGAAAATATATAACTAAGCTTGTAAGGTATAGCAGAAAATAAGATACTCCTACATTGTCATGTATGATACCTTATACCCAACGTAAACATATGAAAATATATAAAAAGAATAAGGAAAGTGAAACACACGAAATAAAGTGGGTCAGGTTTCTATAATTTTATTAAAGTCCTACGTTTTGGCTATTCAATAGCCTTCATCAGGGTGAATGAAAATATAGTATATTTTCTTACTGTTTGAGACTTATACAGATCTAATGAACATTTTATGTGACCAGTAATTTCTGAATACTTTCTTATTGAGTCTAAATATTATACATGTAGATCTATGTGACAAGGAATTACAGAGAATATTGTCAACTTGCCACTTTCCAATTAAATGATAAAGAAGAAAAGAAATTTAGGACCCAATGAAGGTTTGAATACCATTAAAATTAAAAATGAGTACAGAAACTTTTTTAAAACTGCAATCATGTTTAAAAAAAAAAGTAAATAAAACTTGTGCAAAAACACCACCTGTTATTTTGAAAGCACTTTTGCAAAAAAGCATACAACATTTCTTGGCATGTTAGATTTAATTAAAAATCTTCCTCTCACAATGGTAACCTTAAAACACTGTACATAAATATGTGGTTTATTACATGAACAATAAAAACTTAATGCAAATAAGTAACTATTCGATAAAAAAAAATCAGAATCTGACTGAACATATGATTGGATAGTGAGAAAAAATGATGTCATATTCACATTACTAGGACTTGGACTATGAACCTATTAAGTTAGGTCAATTTTGAGGGAATAATATTATTACAGAACTTATTTTTTACAGAACCCATTGCTAGAAAAAACTAGAAATGTGTCTATAGGACACGGATGCACCCACACGCCACTGTTCTATCAATCTTATGACTCTAGGTCAAATATTTTTTGGACTACATGTGCCACAAGTTGAAAACTAAAAATCAACAAAGGGCCATAATTCTGTTAAATTTGGTCCCAGCAAAAATTCCTCCCTTTACTACCATCTACACATTAAGGTTATACATCCCTGGAAGTTTAAGCAAAATCTGCCATCCGGTTTAAGAGGAGTTGTGTTCACAAAATTTCTACATAGTATACAGTGAAAAAATCAACAAAGGGCCATAATTCTGGTAAATTTGGTCGCAGCGAAAATTCCTTCCTTTACTACCATCTTCATATTAAGGTTGTTCATCCCTGGAAGTTTAAGCAAAATCTGCCATCCGGTTTAAGAGGAGTTGCGTTCACAAAATTTCTACATAGTATATAGTGAAAAAATCAACAAAGGGCCATAATTCTGTTAAATTTTGTCGCAGCGAAAATTCCTTCCTTTACTACCATCTACACATTAAGGTTGTTCATCCCTGGAAGTTTAAGCAAAATCTGCAATCCGGTTTAAGAGGAGTTGCGTTCACAAGATTTCGGGATGTACATACGTACGGACGGACAGACAGACAAGTGCAACGCTATATGCTCCCACTTTGTGGGGGCATAAAAATCTATAATTCTTGATTCCATTGCTAAAAATTAGAAAATAAAATCTATAATTCTTTATTCCATTGCTAGAAATTAGAAAATAAAATCTATAATTTTTTAATCAATAATTGCCAGAAAATAAAACAATTATGATGACTGTATATATCTACAAGAAGTTATCTACAATAAATGTACTAAACATAAAACGAAAGCTGTAGAGAAATGACGTCTAAACATATAGCAGCAGGACTAAATAATATAACTAAGCTAGTGTAACATTATACAATAAAAGCTGCATGATTAAAACCCTTAACTTGCTGGAACTTACAAGTGACACTTGCAACAGTATAGATACAGTCAGGACAACCACCAGCACATTTGTGCAGTCTCACCAGGCTTTATACTGGTATCTGACTAACTTTAACTTTTCATCTGGACATTCCCAAAAGTTGATAATGGACAGTTCTGGATAGTTCCATTTGAAAAATTCATCAGGTTAAGGGATTATACTTAAAGCTTTCTATACTTCAGAGCCTTCAATAGTAGTAAATATGTTTTCAATTTGCAAAACTATAATAAATGTTCAGCTTCATAGTTATATGAAAGTATCAGTCGTCCAATGTCCATGCAATACCTTGCTCTAATATAATAGAAATATCATTCTTATAAAGGAACTTGCACGATTTGTCATAGCATAGATTTTATAGTTCTATTTTTACTGAGTCTAGGAAAGTGAAGTAAGTTCTGCAAGGCTTTTTTCATTCTATAGCAGGTGCTGTTTAAGGGCGGCTTCCCCCCAAAGAAAGGAACATAAAGATGAGGTCAACCTTTCTTTCAGCACAACAATAATCCTAAATAGTTACAACACTTCGAAACTTTCAAGTTAAAATGAGCTTTTGAAATATGTGATGTTGGTGGCAAGAAATAACACAAGATGATCAGAGTATTATACAACAACAATGACTAGCAAATCTTTAATATACTTCATAAATACAAATGCAGAATGACTAAAGAACAGAATTACACTGTTTTCTGTACTAAAACAAAATCATGAATGGAAGTTTGTTGTGTAAAAGCAAAAAAAAAATTTTCTTCCACGGATAATTCCTCAATCATATATTCCTACTGATTTCCATTACCCTTGACAAATTTCCATCTTGCTGAAAGTTTGAGTAGAGTATTGTCTACCCTATCAAAACTACTTATTCCATTAATTTAGCATGAATTTGTCTAGGGTAAAAAAAATCTTTTGAAATATATCAATTGGACATTGTCTGGAAAAGAATTGACCAGGTCTAAAAGCAAGTATGAAAAGCAGACTATTCTATACAATATAGACTTGTCTATTCCTACTGTTTGATCTACACTTTTCACCCCAAGCTTCTCTTCGTAAGTCAAAAAGAGATTTTTCCTCTTTTAATCTGTAATGTAATGTAGTATTCAGGCCAAAACATCATTAAGGATGCTAAGCTGAGCTTCTTAAGCCGATTTGGTAGACATGACTCTAGACTTGCCACTTCAGAGACAGCTATGAGTTACAAGGAATTCTGGGAAACAGTCCCTAGCTCTTATTGAAAAGACCCTTTGGTTCTTTTACATGCCCGGTGTATAGCACTGATACATGCGAGGATTACCTGCATTTCTTACCAGTACACCTCTTAATAGGTGGGAAACAACTGAAAGTGTCCCTGAAAAATCCAAGAGGGTGTTACCCAGGATCGAACCCAGAACTTCGGTCTAACCAGCCAGTGGTCTAACCTAACTAACCCACTGAGCTATCAAGCAAAACCATTCATCATTTTTGGGGGAAATTTCAAAATATGAAGCAAATGAATAGAAAACAGTGTTGACCACAATCAGATGGTGCAGTTTTGACAGCTAAGCTTGGTCTACATTGGTCCAATAGGTAGAGTCTATTGGCACTGAGCAGCTAACAGTAATTATGACTTAAAGTAACTTCACTTCTGTTCAGTTTGACCAGACTTTTAACTTTATGCTGATAACTACAGAAATTCTAATATTTTAATAAAAAAAAATCCTTTAAAAAAGAGCCACCACTGGGCGGGGCAACACACAACTTTTTCGGCTTTTTCTAAAGTTAAACAAATCAATGATTTAAGTAAATCTTTAAAAAGAAAATTGAAGGAAAAAAAAAAGTTTTTTATTTTTTTATTTTGTCTGTCTAGTCACACTTGTTGTTTTGTCCAAATAGAAATCATTTCCATAAATAAATGACAAATTAATAGTAGAGCTATATATCATTGAACTGTTCAGAAACAAAAGCAAAGCCAGTTCCTTTTTAACAAATTAAGCAAAGTAACATTTCGTGCTTACGCTACGAAAAATGTTGGATAATCATTGATAATAATGTGCTTTTTCCCCCCTCAAATAATTGTAGGTAAGCTTGAAACTGTAAAAAATTTAGATCAAACAGTAGAATAAATGGAGCCTGAAATCATATGACCGTCAGATGACCAGGAGAATAAAATAAAAAGTCAATATTCAATCCATTAAGATCTCTTCTGTATTAAACTCAGTCTTATACATATATTTATACATGGATTTTATAAATTTCTTATTTAACAAGTGTAAAAGTATTTTTACCAGACACACACCAACTATTGTCATATATAAATAAATTTTGTTTTCTTTTTAAATAATGAAGAATACAGCATGCTTTTTTACATTCAATAACATGGAGAGTCATTTGCCAATAGTATCTCTTAACTTAATTTTAAAGATAACATGTAAAGGATTTGTAATGTTTTCCATTAATAAAAACTATTAAATTTTTCTGTGTGAAAATAATTTTAAGTTTTGTTTCTTTTTGTCCTTCGTTTGAAAATCATCTCAGGTCATGTGACTGTTCAGGTCATGTGACAGGTCATGAGACAACATTATATACACATCTAGAAGCTGTCTTTTTTATATTTTTTAATACAAAAGTAAAGCAAGTGAGAGACATAGATATACAAGATGTTACTGTGAAACGACAGCTACCAGTGCTTTTTTTCCATTTAAATTTTGTGATATAAATTGATACCCCATTGTCCTTTCCATAAGGTGCATTATATATCCCCACCAATCTTTAACCCCCCAACCCCCACCAAAAAAGAATTACACTAACTAATCGTAGTTTGACTGTGTTGGAAGCTATAAGCTTAATTGAAACACTTTTGAATCTGTTGCTGGAACCAAACAGTACTAAGCAATGAGTGTAAAGTTTTTTGCTCAGAGAAAAAATGCCTTGCCCCTGATGAGGTTTAAACCTAGCTACCAGTGATCCTTAGGTTACTAGTCTCACACCTCATCTTATAAAAAAAAGTAATAATAACTTTAATTGTAAAGAACAAGATCATTTTTCTACCATGTCAACAATATTTAACATTTACTGGGATGAAACAATTTAAAAATTCATTCTTTTCCTAATATTAATAAAAAGATTTTTTCGATCCCAAAGAGTCAACCCACCATCTATTAAGAATCCCTACATTAACAGATTTTCCAACACCTCAAAGAGCTACCCCACCATTAAATTCTTTGCCCTGTAAAAACAAAGTAAAGAAAAAAAGCACTGACTGCACAAAAAAGAAGACACACATTATAGACTGTGAGAGAAAAACCACTATGTCAAATAAAGCACTGACTGCACGTAAAGTAGACATACACTATAGACTGTGAGAGAAAAACCACTATGTCAAAAACTTACTCATCTCATCTGCCCAGTTTAACACTGGGTTATAACTGCCTGCCAAAGAATTGTATTCAAACACAAGTATCATACACTGATGTTACTAAAATTCCAATTTAATATCGCTAACTACAGTCAAATCTGTGTTAAAAGACAACCTCTGAATAAGGACCAACCTGTAAATAATGACCCATTTGTCAACAAACTCTCATTGATTTAATAGGATAGAGTAACCCTCAAATAAAGAACACTTGTCTGTAAAGTTCATCCAACTAACCCTCAAATAAAGACCACTTGTTAATAAACCTAATGTTTAGTCACTCCTTTATGTGAACTTTGTCCACAGGTTTGACTGTACATAAACAAAAGACTTTCTGTTCAACATTATCTTGAAGTAAGTATATTTAAATCAAGGTATATATAGAAAATATGTTTAGGATACTGTCACCTGTATCATCTCCCATACATACAAACAGCAAGTTAGTGAGGTGGTTTGGTTGAGGAGAAAGCCTTTCAACCTAGGAATTATGGGTTGAGACCTACACAAACAACAAGTTTCACACCAGTACCTTTCAGTTTCAGGACAGAAACTTCGGAGCAGTTAAGCTATGTTATACTTAAAGCTTTCACCAAAATCTAGCTTAAATAATTGTTAACTTCATATATAATTAATTTTCGCTCAACTGTGCAGGAAGCTATAAGCTTACAGACACACTCTTAAATAGGTTCCTGGAACCAACAAGTACTGAGCAATGAGTGTTTAGTTTCTTGCTAAGGGAAACAACTGCTTGACCCTGATGATGTTTAACCCAATGCAGCTAGCTGTCCTTAGACTACTAGTATGAAACGTTCATCACTCTGCCATGTCAGTACATGAAAATACCTGTTTTTACAATCTCAAATGAGTCTCAACTTTAGTTAAAGGTAATAAATTTCAGCTGAACCAGTGTATCATATTTAATTTGAGACCATACAATTACTGATAAACCTGTTTATGTTGTCCATCACTCCATACTTTACAGATTTGACAAATTTTGTTCAATAAATTCTGTTTTGCCAACTAAGACACATGTATATGAACAAATCCATAAGATGTAACCTGTCTTTACAGACAACCTTGCTTTAACAGACCAACTTGCTTTTAAGGCATTTATTTAAAATCTGGTCTTCGTTAACAAGTGTGACTGTATGCGAATACAGTGAAACCTGTGAACAAAGGCTACCCAAAGGAGAAACAAACATGAACTTTACAGACAAGTGGTCTATATTTGGAGGTTTTTATGTTCTATTTAATCAATAAAGAGTTGTCTCAGAGTGGTCTTTATTTAGAGGATGGTCTTTATTTGGAGTTGGTCTTTAACTTTAACACAGGTTTAACTGTATATAGAATACTGTATTATTTCCATATGTATATGTATAAATGATTACACAATGTTAGTTATTCAAGATGTAGACTAAATGTACCATTTAGTTATATAATAATACAGGTTATGATTACATATTTTAATGATATTTTTATCATGATATAATGTAAATAAATAACAATTGATATAAAATATGCATATTAGTAATAAAATTTAATGTCTTAAAGTGGCATGCCTCCAGATTCAAAATGAAAATTTACCTTCACCACACTAAATATCTTAAATGGACTTGCCCATCTTTTAATCTGGACAAAACTATTTATCATTTTTAGGGAAAATATCAAAATATGTACTTAGTGAGTAGGAAGCAGTGCAGACCATGATCAGATGGCACAAATGTGTCGGCTGATCTTGGACTGCACAAGTTGCATGTGGTAGAATCAGTTACCATCAGCAGGGTAAAGCAAAAGTCCATGACATTTAAAATGCACCAATGTGTCAAATATGTTAAATATCCATAACTTTGAAGCAGGGCATACTGCAAAATCATTATTACTCGTGGGGCATAATTTTTTGTGGTTTTCTTGGATAGGCCAATACATGTGGATAGGTCAATCCACCAATTTAAGATTCAACGAAAATGTCCTTTTTGTTTGCTGTAAGATTGTTTTGCATCACATTATTTACATTTCATATTTTGGATTAATAAACAGTCCATGTATTTTTAAAAACCCACAAAAAAATTTTTTTTGTGACAAAACCACGAAATTTCATGCCCACGAAAAATTAAATGAATTCACAGTAATTATTGACCTTGAAAACAAAGTGAATATTTAAATGTTTCTTTTACTCTATATTAACTTAATAATTACTTATGTTTGCATTTTTTGAAGAAAAAAAATTGTTTACCTTTCAACTAATTTAATTGATTATCTTATGATTACTTCTTTTTTAAAGAAAAATAAACAAAGTGTTTACACATCTAGTGGCATGCACCTTTTAATTAAAACCTGATTAATAAAATGATGATAAAATGAATAATATTAAAACATACCTGATTCATTCCAGTCTATTGGTTGTAGAGAAGTGTCTATATATGGAAATAAATGAAATCATACAAAACATTTAATGAGAACAAGAGCACCGCATGTGGGGATAACGCTCATCTGTTAAGGGCAACCACTATCAATAACCAAATATTCCAAGTTAAAAAGGGGTTCACAATTACCTCCCTTTGGTTTCCAGTGGTCATGTTAACAAATAGGCTGACAAGACAATTTATGCTTTTTGAGAAAATTCAATTCAGATGTGGGATTTTCTTGCACATGTTTACAAAAGGTGCGCAATCTTTGGAATAGTGTGAATCAAGCAATAGACATTGCATAATTTCAAAAATATAGCTTTCAGAATAATGCCCCCTTTGACTAACAACTGCGCCATGATAGCATGTATTCTAAGTTACATGTTGATAACTTTTAAAATGTTTGAATAATGGGCTACATAAAATTTTTTGCACAAGGACAATTACAATAACCCAACAATCATAACAGCTTCGCTTTTTCTTTGAAACAGACAAGCTAAAAAATGACATGTGACTGCATTAATGTGATAAAATGAAAAACAATATTCACTGACACCCCATCCCACTCCTTGGAATATAAATAAATGAATTCATGTTTAATGAACAACTGATGTATATGATATTCATTGATAATGGAAAAGCTGTTAAATAGAAAAATGGGTTTCTATGACAATGAAGAAAATCTTCCATGACTATTAGAAAATCTGGTAAATTTTCTAATTCATATTGAACTTGAACATATAAATTTCCTTACTGTACAATTGACAACTGATGTAAAACTAATACAACTGTCAAATGAAGTAAAAACATAATCAACGTAAATAAAGCCTTTGATATTGCTCGCAGCAGAAGTGACAGGCTCATGCAATCAGCAGGTCAGGCCAGCATGCCTTTTGCATTCTATGTATTCTATAAATAACTGGCTAATAATGTAAATATTTCAGGACATTTTTGTAAGGTGACTAAGGTCTTGAGGACACCTATAGCAAAGTGACTAAAGACTTGTTGCTAAGTGACTCAGGCCACTGTTAGCTAAGTGACTCAATACTTGGAAAAACCTTAAGACAAGTTTCTAAGGACTTGAGGACATCTTTAGCAAAGTGACTAGGGGCTTGAGGACAGCATTTAGCAACTTGACTGAGGACTTCATGACATCTTTAGCTAAGTGTCTATGGACTTGAGGGCACCTTTGGGTAAGTGACCAAGGATTTGAGGACACTGTTTTGAAAAGTGACTAAGGACTTGAGGACACCTTAAGACAAGTAACTATCCACTAAAATTTTGAGGTAACTTGACTTTAACCGCTTCCCAGAGACTAATGTTATGTTTTGTGAAAAAATTATCCAGCATACACAAAAGGGAAGTTCCTACTCAGGTATCTGTAATAATGTATACTGGGCAACAACAATGTGTTTCTCAACCAGTAAAAGCAAGGAAATCTCCTTATGACTGTAACAGTATAAGTAAGACCCAAGCCAAGACTAATTTAGAAAAAGTTAGCCTATAAATATTGGAATCTTTAAAGTCAAAATTAAAATGATATCAAATTCAAAGCAGGGCTAGGCCATTGCACACATTTAGCATGAGCTTAGCTAAAAAAACTTATAAACACTTATTCATGCTAAGCACATTCTGTTTATTAAAGTATCTATAAAGATAAGGAGGCTTATTAAAAAAATACCTTGTTGTTTTTGATGAAGATTCAGATGTAATACAGCATTCTTTGCAGCCGCAGCTTCTGCCTCTGCAGCCGACCTATAAATATCTGAAATGTATAAGTTTATGCAAGTTTAGAAACCAAAAACACCCCTCAACTCTTAGCGCAAAGTTTAAATATTTAGACTGTGTTAAATACAGTAAAAATCTCAACAGAAACAAATAATGACTAGTTATTTTGTACTTCAGGTCTTATGACGGTTAATTGACTCCACACTCTGTTTATTCTACTGTTTGATTTATATATTTTTTGTTTGTTTCAAGTTTGCCTACAATTATTTGAGGTGGTGAAGAACAACTTATAATCATTCAAGTGTAGAACCCACTCTCCTAGCCTGTAACACATAGACATAGAACTTTTAAAATCTTTTTTTACATTAAAGTGAAAAAGCGTGTTGATTTGTGCTATAGGAAATTAGCCGAATAGGGAAAGACATGTCTTTCAATGAAGCGCTACCTCCAAGCGCTGATTTGGGTCTATATATGTCAAATAAGGGGAAACAGACAACATGTTAAAACATAATTTCTAAATATCTAGAGAATAGTAACATATATTAGCAGCATATAAAATATCCAATGAAAGATGAGGTCCGTTTATGATAAACTATTATAAATCATGTCACAAATACTGTATTTACTGGCTTATAAGACAGATCCCTAATAAGACAAGGGTCCAAATTTTGACACAAAAATGGCAATTTTTGCTTACACCCTCTTATAAGACAGGAAGAAATTTTTTCTTAAGTAAAAAAATAGTAATGGCTTTCTACCTTCACTCCCGTATGTTTCTTTGTTGATCTTTACCAGACTCACATAGCCCCCTGCGGCAGGCGTTGTGTAAAACTCCAATGTTTCATTCATTTCTTGGAAATAGTTCATAAGTACCTTCATATAGTCTCCACCTTCCAACACTAAAATATACAAGTAATGTCCAAATACAATCGTGCTTGGAAATAACTAATTTTCAATTATTTTTACATAATTGCCACCTTATGACACTTAAATATACAAGAAATTTTCAAATGTTATTGTGTTTAGAAATAATTTTCAAACATCTTCACATATATTGATTGCACTGTCAGACACTAAATATTCAACTGTATTTGACATTTTGCCTATTTTGTGTTTGATATTTTACCTATGTCAAACACTGTGTCTTTGTCAAACACTGTGCATATGTCAAATATTTTGCCTATATCAAACATTGTGTCAATGTTTTTCTAGCTATTAATATCTCAGAACTGTCATACTTTATTGACACATTCAGCAACGTTACCTATACTGATGGCTTATTAACTTTAGATTTTCATCCCGATATACCCAAATGTGATAATAGACAGTTCTAAAACTAGAATCTGGACAAGTCCATGTAAGAAATTCAGCAGTTTAAGGGTTAATCTAGTTACAGGTACATTAACTCTATACAAAGAAATGGACAAGATTCCAATTTTTTCTGAAAATTATAATTACTAGCTGCAGGTGGAAGCTTCGACTGTTGTGGGCGTCGTATGGGAGTAGATTGATGCTGTTGTTGTTGTTGTTGGGGTGGAGAGGCTCCTCCGATCCTTTTCCGGAACCGTGGTGGAACCTCAAATCTTGATGCCTGCTGTCCTGGTCTCTGGGATAGAAAGTTTTGATTGTGTGTAATTTGTTGTTCTTGTTTTTTTTCATGTTGTATTTAACAAATTTTAGTCATATATATCAGCACCAACTAACTTGCTGGCCACATGGGTTCAAATCCCTGCCAAGGGCAAGCTGTTGTTTCAGTGAGCAAGAAACTTTACACTCATTGCTTAATACTGGTTGGTTCCAGGAAGGGATTCAAGAGTATTTCGATAATATTATAGCTTCCAACACAATCAAACTAAAATAAATTTGTATAATCTATAACTGGCTTTCCTTGATAACTAGCAAGTAATTACCAATTTCTCTGCAAGTGACTAATTACTAATTCCACGATTACTAAATCTGCAGCTGCAGTGAGAGACTCCATGCCTGAGATCAACTGTCAAAGAAAAATTTCCACCTCATATGAGGGTCCCCTGAATTGCCTACCTAATGCTCTCCCTACTGAGCTAAACCAGTGGACCAATAGCAGGCAGAACTCATTCATTCCATTTGGGTTTTAGATTGTAAAAATAGCTTGCTTTAAAGTTAAATTTGTGATATTAAAAATTTTGTCAAGGAGAAAATAAAATTTGTTTTGTACTTAATACTACTCTTGCTCTCTATTAGGGCAAAAAGAAAAGATTTCAGGTAAAGTTATGTTTAGCTTTGCCCATGCTATATACATGCAACTACATATCTGTAGATATATATCAATTGATTGTTACAAATTTTTTAATAGAACTGTTGTGAAATATTTAATAGGATTTTTCTAATCCTTTTGGAAACTGGTACAAATGATTCCTAATTGGAACTTTTTAAGCCAGGAAATTTAGTTTTTAGATTCTTCACAAATTCAAATCATGTAAATTTTACAAAATAAAGTAGAACCATGCCTTTTACAATTTTTAATAGAAATGATTTTTTTTCTTCATATTTCAATTTGCCCATAAAGAAATTAATCTGTTGATAAAGAGTAACTGGAAAGTTTTTTCTTGTACATTAAAAAATCATATTCTTTGCGTAGTAAAGGAAGAAAAAAAAACACACAAAAAAATTTACTCTGAAAGAAAAAGTTCAATAGAAGTAAGGATAAAAGTTTCATCTTACATTGATGATTCTATCATTGTTGGCCTCTGACATTGCTTTATTGAACATGGGGTTAGCACCCACTCTGATAGTTCTGTTACCACTACCCACAGATATTGTTACCGGAGTCAGAGACCTGAAAAACATCAAATTTTCATCCATTTAGCTGGGTCGGCAAAATCAATTGTCCGTATTGCCCCAGGTTGTCCCACAGTCTTTACGGACAAGTGAAAATTTTCCTGAATTTACTGTATAAATTTATCATATGGACAAGTAAAAACATGTTTTAGATATAAAGGACACGTAAATCAAAATCATATTTTGCCGACCCTGATTTAGATTCTAAAAAAATACTTTGAAAAGCAATTATAATCACTTGATGTTACCTTTAATTTTATAAGGCAAATATATATTAAATCAGTTCTATAACAAGAGCACCGCTAGACGGAGCATTATATGCCCGAAAGTACTCTTTCTTTTAGTGAGGAAGACATTGGAATTAAATACAGTATTACCTCCTTCAAAAAGCAATCCTCCTTTATAGCTGAAGAACATTCATGTATATATGCAGTTGCTGTTTTCAAAGCACCACCATCAAGTTGTTATCTTGTAAGTAAAAATGCTAAAACGGATGGACACCAAGACGTCAGGGGTATAAAGCTGTTAATCCTATAAAATTTTACAGCTGTAGTTCGATTAATACTTGATTTATTGAGCGAAAACTGTTTCCAGTTTAAAGGTGATAGTAATCCCTTGATCTTTGACCTTGTGACCCCAAAATCAATAGCGGTCTTCTACCCAATATGAACAATCATCCTATGAAGTTTGAATACTGTGGGCCAAATGGAACTTAGGTTATGCTCCGGAAACCATTTTCAGTATTAAGCTAATAGTGACCTTGACCTTTGGCCTTGTGACCCCAAAATCAATAGGGGTCTTCTACCCAATATGGACAATCATCCTATGAAGTTTGAAAACTGTGGGTCAAATGGAACTTAAGTTATGCTTCGGAAACCATTTTACGTATTTAGCTAATAGTGACCTTGACCTTTAACCTTGTGACCCTAAAATCAATAGGGGTCTTCTACCCAATATGGACAATCATCCTATGAAGTTTGAATACTGTGGGCCAAATGGAACTTAAGTTATGCTCCGGAAACCATTTTCAGTATTAAGCTAATAGTGACCTTGACCTTTGACCTTGTGACCCCAAAATCAATAGGGGTCTTCTACCCAATATGGACAATCATCCTATGAAGTTTGAATACTGTGGGCCAAATGGAACTTAAGTTATGGTCCGGAAACCATTTTCAGTATTAAGCTAATAGTGACCTTGACCTTTGACCTTGTGACCCCAAAATCAATAGGGGTCTTCTACCCAATATGGACAATCATCCTATGAAGTTTGAATACTGTGGGCCAAATGGAACTTAAGTTATGCTCCGGAAACCATTTTCAGTTTTAAGGTAATAGTGACCTTGACCTTTGACCTTGTGACCCCAAAATCAATAGGGGTCTTCTACCAAATATGGACAATCATCCTATGAAGTTTAAATACTGTGGGCCAAATGGAACTTAAGTTATGCTCCGGAAACCAAATTGCTAACGAAAGGGCGGACATCTGGCCGAAATTGAATAAGGGGCCATTTCTATTGTTATTTTCTATTGTTTAACAGAGGGCCAATGGCCCCTACTCTATTGTTACGGAATGAACTCTATTGTTCTCTTTTGTTCTGTTTACAGTTAGATGGCCCCCTATCCCTTTTCGGTAGTGCGGACGGACGGACGGACAGACGGACGCCAGGGGGTATAACATAATATGCCCGAAATTCTTTCGGGCATATAAAAACAAACAATTTTCTTTAGCTTTAGACGTTTCATCCTTTTCAGAAAAAATTGATGTTTATATAATAACAAAAAATGCAATGTCCTTTTTAAACATATTGCAATAATATTTTTTTAACAATACTATGACAAGCATTCTATTTGTCATAAAATAATTCAAGTAAATGAAACTTTACATATGTAGTTTTAACAAACTAACATATAGCAAGAAATTACCATTAATTTGTGACCTAATACTTGGCAAGGATTCTATTTGTCATTAATAATTAAGGTAATTAAAACTTTAGTTAACTGAAACAAACTATTACAAGAAATTACAATTAATTTGTGACTAAAAACTTGGCAAGGATTCTATTTGTCATAAAAATAATTCAGGTAAATGAAACTTTACACTTGTAACTTAAACAAACCATTACAAGAACTTACAATTAATTTGTAAATACTGGTAAGTACTTGGGCAACGTTCCTGTGTGCCTGCAGGTATAGTACATTACAGACGATAACCAGGTTCGAACCTAGTACCCGGTACCAGTCTATCCAATCCAGTAAAAGATAATACAATAACGTATAAAATCAAAATAGTTTTCCAAAGATATATATAAGATCGCCATCTTAGTGCAGTAACATATTAACTCCTATTTAATTATATTATGAGTTAATCTGTTATTGCACTAAGGAAACAATATATGACGTTTCAGCTGAATTGATAAAGTTGCACAAAAAATGTAAACTAAGAATAAGTCACAACATGATGTAATTGGCAAGGGAAGTAAGCAACTTTTTTCCTAGAAAAAGTCAATAGCATTAGTGGATTCCCTTTTTTAGTAATGTTGGAATCGAAAGAATACTGGATTGAGCAGTGTTTATCAGGCATTTAACACAGGTTTGTCATTTTGATATGAAAAAATAAATAACTCTGACCTTCGTGGTAAATTCCTATGCATCAAAACTCCAGAGTTAAATAGCGGATCAACACAGCTTAGACCAATATCATTTCTTTACTAACCGATATCATTTCTTTACTAACCAATATTATTTTTTTAACTAACCAATATTATTTCTTAACTATATAATGCAAGAACCTACTGCTGAAATGGTGGTGAAACAAAGCTTGGTAAAGTTGTTCGTGGCATGTGATGAATAGGTGTTCTAGGTGGTCTGTACTGACTTGAGCCCCGTGGGGGTAGAAATCGTGACCCGCCCCCACCTCTTGGCCTCCGCACTGGTTTCTGAAGACATGAGAAAAAACACTTTATGAAAATATGGTATCAGATCAATATTCTTATTTAGAAGTTCTATATATAGATTATGAATATTAAAACTAAGTCAGCCAAGAGCAAGGAGCCTGTGCAGACTGGAAGGCTTATCAGTTTTGGCTCCAGCAGGATGAAATTTATTGTTTATGACAAATAAAGACCAAGTGTCAAAATGGTAACAAAACATTTAAAACATTAAAACTTTGAACCCTTTTAAGAGTGAAAAACCAGATTTGTTTGAAATTATTTTTTGTTCAACAGGATTGCAGTATTTCAAATGAATCGTAACACATTCACTATGATAAATCGGCAAATTATTAATCAGTCTTATAAATCAACTGTTTACAGAAATAATTTAAAACGCTAAGCTGGTTAAAATTTGTAAGTATGTCTTTACAAAATTAAATTGGCTATGCCGCACCTGACCAATTTCATTTTGTAAATATGTGCTAATAAACTTTAACCTATACTTAATTTGGCATAAATAAATTATCAAAATAAAAAGCTTACATTAACTCTTTTGCTCCTCTGTTTACTAACGAGGGCCTGGATGTGTGAAGTGGACTTATCTGCCACGGCTTTTATCATAATATCTCCACCACGTCTGTAAATATATAATTTTAATAAAAAATATATTCATCTAAGATATACATTCATGCTTAACTAAAACTACATGTTGTTTTTTTTCTCTCCAAAAACAATTTACACATTATAAATGAGTAATGTGGCCAATTATTTTATTTTTGTTAGGTTTTATGTCGCACCAACACAGTATAGGTAGTATTGGTAAAATAGCTAAAAATAGATTATTTTCTGGCATAATAGGGGTGTTAAAAGTTATTTCATTATCATTTAACTAACACATTTATCATTTATTCTTACATGACCCACATTTTTCCGTATTGAACATAGAAGGAACAAAAGTGTGTGCTATCAATTCTGCTATAAAATCACTGTTGACGGTCTGTATTAGACATGTAACCATTATATACATGTGACGTAACCACTAAAAATGTGGCCCACTGAGAACAAGCATGGTAACAAATCAGGCTCAATTTAGCTTGATATCAGATACAGCAGCATTTATTTGTTGATGTTGTGTTAGAATCGAAATAATTTATCCCAATCAGTGATTTTAGCGCCTGATAAAATCATCGTTTGTTGTAGCCCTCGGGACTAAATCACTGTTTGGGATAAATTATTTCTTAGACTAACACTACTAGTATAAGCAAAAAAAACACATTGAAAACACACCTTTTTAGGTGAGCTGAATGGGACCAACTTGATAATAAGACCACTTCTTACTGGTTCCAAATGTGGTCTTATTAGTTAGACTGAACTATACAAATACAGTACATACCTGTCAATTCTGGCAACATCTGGCATTGACAGAATGAACTTCTCAAATGATGGGAACCCCATCTTCAGATATGGTATGTTTTCTCCAACTATTTCTTTGTACTCCTCTATAAAAGTAAAGAAAAAGGGATAAAAATATTTAACTATATAAACTTTATACATATTCAAATGAAGGAAATCAAATATAATAAGAAATTCAATTTAATTTTTTTTAGATATATCAAAATTCAAGAAACTTACATACAGGTATTACAAAGGTGCTTGCAATGCAGCAGTGGATGTAAATGAGTCAAAGTTAGTTAAGAAAATGATTTTCAATAGGAAATTTGAACCTTTAACAGGTTTAAACCACACTTCCAGAATCGAAAGGCAGACTGTTAAACCACTAGGCTACTACTACTTGAAGCTGCATGCCTCTAATGAGCCAAAATATTTCCAGAAAATCAAACTTGAGAAAAAAGTACATGTAATAAAAATTGAAAGAAAAGTAAAATTATTCAAGATTCAAGTAATAATTTACATATTATGTGTGATTAGGGACTGATTTTGCAGTGTTTATAACCATAACTCTACTGCATGACTTACACAGTAAGGGCTACTTTTGCATATTTTTTCCTCCTTTTTGGTAAATTTCCTTGATTGTAAGTGCTGATTGCAATGCATCAATTACTTTTAATCTGTTCACTTCACAAAACTTAACTTTTAAACACAATTTCAAAATTTTCATGAAATTAGCATGAATCTACTTTAATGTCAGTAGAAACCTAAAAAGAATGACTAAAATCTGTTAATACCACTATAATAAATGTCTTAACGAAAACATAAACTTCTATTTGAACAGTAAACTCACTTTGAAGTCTTGTAGCCAAAACCCCTTCCTTTACACCAATTAAAACACTCCGCAGCAGAGACTTTACTTTCTTGATCTCTTCTTCTTCCATCTTTAACACCTGGAAAAAAAAGATCCCAAAGTAATATTTCTCATAATTGATCATACAATGTACATGTATCTCTTAGCTCACATTAAATTTTGTATACAGTGTTTCCCTCAAGTTTGTATTGGAAAAAGGGGTTAAAATTGGTGTTTAACAATGGTGTTAAAAATTGGTGTTTTTCTTTTAATGTTATTATTTTACCCATTATACAGAGATGATTTATAAAATCTTACATGCCTAATTACAAGTCTTTTCAATTTTTGGGAAATATTAAAGATTAAATCAGAAATTTTCAGCCCCTATTCTATGATAAATACACATAAAACCTTTGTTGTGTGATTGATCATGAAATCTTTTTTACAGTAATTTGCACTGTATCTCTGCTCTGGCATATACCAATGTTATCAGTCCCTTGTAAAAGTGAAGGCATTCAGTACTGGTAAACTGCTTGACAGTCTGCCCAGAAATAATGCATGACTGAAATGCGCTTTGATTTATTTGATGTGATCCGGAGTAAAACCATTAACACCACCACCATTTTAACATCAAATAACATACAATTTTTATTCATGCAATTAATAATTATTCTTTAAATTATTCATGCAATTATTCCAACATTTTTTATTTGTATAGAATGATAAATCACGAGGTTTATGAAACAGATTCTTATATCTTGTAGAATTATGAAGATAGTTTTTATAATTAACATCATAGCGTTTATGAATTTATCTTGCTAAAACATTTCATTTCTTAAGTAATGATATTTGAGACATTGCTAATGCTTAAAGTCATCAGTGTTCGCGTTTACTGAGTAAACATATCAATTTACTCGCTAAAATTGCCAGGGAGGAAAGAAAAAAAAGGACCGTTAAGTCCCTGGGACAAAACTATTTTCCCCTGATAATTGGTTAATTCCCGCTTAAGTTTTTTTGCTCTGATTGAAAACGATTTTCTATTTGCTTTATTAATTTATAAGAACTTGACTTTCACCTCATTTTGATTTCTTCCCTTGTCATTAGCAATGCAGATGCGGCCTCCTTTTGGGCCAACCTACCAATGGCATCCGCAAACATCAACAGTCACAAATTTGATTGTATTATGAAGTTATGCAAATACTGACATTTTTGTAATTGAGGACTTGTCCCATTTGAATTGGGATGTAACAGATCTATTAGCACTGAGTCCCAGGTATTCGGTAATGATATTATCATACAGTTGCATACATAACTAACTAACAATATTGACACCCAACCAAATTGGTGTTCACAGTAAAAGCATAGGATTGACTTTTCTTTCACAGGTGTTCATGAACGGTCATGCCATTGATGTTGTTTTCAATTAACGCTGAAAATAGCTGGGTTATTAAACCAATCCTATTGTGTACTAAGTGGTGATCTACCACCAGACTGTTCCCAGCAGGGTCAGATTGAATCAGTGCAGAGCTTGTCCCAAGTCAAAGTCCCAAATACATGATAGTGGGTACCCCATCAAATTACGCGCTACAGCTTTTTCTTAGATTGACCGACATCTATGTAATATCTTTTTGTAAATTTGGTCGGTCTTACAGTCGAAATATTGAGACTGGATTGAAGGGACCAGGTAAAAAATGGAACTGGTTTGCCCAGCTTAAAAAAATGACTGCATGGCACAAACGGAAAATCTTTACACCTGTGGGTTTTTTTTGTTTTATTTATTTCGTTTTGTTAATCCTACTTGTCTTTCTTTTTTTTTTTACTAAAATGAATTAAACATAAAAATCATGATAGACTGACTTATCATAATCATTTTATACCAATGATAAGTCATTTAGTCAAAGACTATTGCAAAAAGTAAACAGTTGTACAAGAGCATGGTGTTGAATGTATATCTGTGACAAGAGACAATAAAATAATCAGATATATTGAAGATTGCATATTGAACTGTTGAAAATGAAAATAGATTTTTCAGAAAAAAAAAACACCTGAACAAAACTTACAAACGTCCCTTCCCCGTACGAAAAGCTAGTTAACAGTAGGTGGTAGCAAAAGTTTTAAAGCTAGATCAATATAATAATACACAAATTCTTAATTTATATTATAAAATAAAGACAATAAAATCGAATAAAGATTGTTTTTGCTTCCTCTGAGAAGTAGAAAGTACGAATGCAGCCTCTTTTCGAACGACTTCGGATTTTATCGTAAATGTGACATCCGAATATCCAACATGGAAGACGACAATCAAGCTATCGAGCAAAGTTGTATCGACCACAAAAACGGTGCAGTGTGTAAAAATTCTATTTATACTTTTTTTATGAACGGTGTATATATATGTTTTGTCGTCGTGACATGAGCTTTTTTAATGAAACTGAAAGTATGAGCTTTTTTAATGAAACTGAAAGTAAGATACCGCCCAATTAAGGTAAAAATATATTTTATGTACATGTTGATAGATAAATAGATTGTAATACAGTCGATCTAATATGCAATATTTTTTTTGTTTTTGTTTATTGTTGTTTTTCTTTGGGGGTGGGGGTGTGGGGCTATAAAACACTTATGTTATTTTTTTATTTTGGAGGGGGGGGGAGAGATGGAAGGGTGTGGGGGTCCTTCTACACTGTTCTAAACACTGCTAAGGACTACTAGGGAGGCACGACTTCAAGGGACCTTAAAATACCTCCTACCGCACTCGTATGACTTATTTCAGTATATTTAGAGATTAAAAATATATTATTTTAAGAAAAAATATGATTTGGGTGATAGAATTTATGCTTTCTATGAGTTGCAGGACTGCTAATGTCGGCTTAGAGGCACAAAGGACTGCTAGGAAGGTACATAGGACCTTAAAATATTTCCTAGGGCATTCTTATGACTAATTTCAGTATGTGTAGAGGTAAAAAATATATTATTTTAAGAAAAAATATAATTTTGGTGGTAGAATCTATGCTTTCAATGAGTTGCAGCACTGCTAAGGACTGCTTAGAGGCACAAAGGACTGCTATGGAGGTACAAAGGATCTTAATATACCTCCTAGGGCATTCTTATGACTTATTTCAGTACAAATGTATGTTTAGATGTAAAAAATATATTATTTTAAGAAAAAAATATTTTTGGGTGATAGAAATTATGCTTTCGGTGAGTTGCAGGACTGCTAAGGACCTCTGAGAGGCACAAAAGACTGCTAGGGAGGCACAAAGGACCTTAAAATATCCTAGGGCATTCTTATAATACTTTTCTGTATATTCAGTGAGAAAAAATTTATTATTTTTAGAAAAAATTAAATTCTTTAATGTCATAGATTATTAGAAATATTAGAATTTATGCTTTGCAAATTTATTTATGCTTTTATTCTAGAAGTTGCAGCACGGCTAAAGACTGCTAAGGAGGCACAAAGGACCTTTAAATACCTGCTAAGGCATTTTTATAACATATTTCAGTAAGTTTAGTGATAAAAATTGCATTATTTTAGAAAAAATATAATTTTGGTGATAGAATTTATGCTTTCGATGAGTTGCAGGTCCCCTAAGGACTGATACCTCCTTAGGGAATTATAATATATTTTAGTATGTTTAGAGGTAAAAAATATATTATTTTAAGAAAAAATATTATTTGGGTGATATAATTTATGATTTTGATGAGTTGCAGGCCTGCTAAGGACTTCTGAGAGGCACAAAGGACTGCGAGGGAAGTACAATGGACCCTAAAATACCTCCTAGGGCATTCTTATAATATATTTCAGTATGTTTAGAGATAAAATATATTATTTAAAAAAAAAAATATATGGTGGTGGTGTTGGTAGTTGTATGTCACTCCGGATCACGATAGTAAGTCACATTGAATTCATTAGAGCACAGTTCAACCACTGTATCGTTCCTGGGCAGGCTGTCAAGCAGTTACCAGTATTATGTTGCCTTCACTTTCGCAAGGAACTGAAACTTCTGTACATGCCAGAGCAGAGGTACAGTGCAAATGACCGTAAGAAGGATTTCATGATTATTCACAATGAAAGTGACCTGCGCTGTCCAGGAATAAGATATGTTGAGTATTTATTACAGTCAGACTTAGTTTAAGAACAAATTTTAAATCATGTAATTACTTTTGTTTTGTGGGAATTTTATACTTTTTTCAATTTTATGCTTTTAGCAAAAAAAATTTAAATGTTTTTATTTTTTTTTCTTGAATTTTTTTATGATTTCTTGGGGGTTTTATGGGTTATATTTATACTTTCTTTATCCACTCTTTAAAATTTGTTTTTTGGGGCATTTTAGGAAATATTTTAACTTAACATGTTTATTAAATTAATAATTTTTTTTCATGGGGTTTGATCCCCGGAGATGCTTTGGTAGTAAATTCCGAGAAGGGAGTCTAGTTTTGGTGTAAATTCCTGTAAAAATGGTAGGAAAAACCCCCTTTTTGACTGAAATATTTGGGGAAAAAGGGTAAAAAAAAAAAATTTTTTATTAATTGTTTTAAAAAATTTTTGCTATTTTTTTTATTTTAAACGAATTTTTACACAGGTTAAAACACCCTACTGTTTTGGATTCCCCCGCACCCCAATTCCGTTTCCCAAACCCAAAACCCCTTTGGGTTTTTAACAAATTCCTTGATTTCCAAACACCAAGCCTTTTATTCCCCAAACCCAAATTTCCCAATTTAAAGATGACATAATAATTTACATGATAAAGGGGAAACTTATAAAACAAGAAAAAGGGTAGGTATGGGGGTTCTTTTTTAAATTAAACATAAAAAAAAACCATTCTTTATATCCAAACTTAATGATAACTGGTAAGATATTAACTTGAACAAAGCATTTTACCTGCATTTTCCCCCTTTGGCAAAGGACAGCGCTTTTGGGTGTTGTCGAAAACTTTTCTTTTAAAAAATCTTCTAATAAAATGTAAACCAATTTCATCCAAATTTCACAGGAATGTTCCTTTGGTAGTCAACTTTAAAATTTTTTCAAAGAATTTAATTCCATGTAGAACTCTGGTTGCCATGGCAACCGAAAGAAAAAACCTAAAAAATCTTCTTTTAAAAAACAAAAGAGCTAGATATTTAAGCTAGAGCTTAAATAATTGGCATGAAACATTGTCTAGTTAGTGTCTACCAAGTTTGTTCAAATAAAAGCCCTGGGGTCAAAATTGGCCCCGCCCCGGGGGGTCATAATGATTTTCCTTATTAAATTTTGTATATAGTAAAAACTTAAAAAATCTTCTTTTAAAAAATCCAAATAGCAAGAGCTTAGATATTAAGCATGAAACATCATCTAGTGGGTGTGTACCAAATTTATTCAAATAAAAGCCCAGGGGTGATTAATTTTGACCGGGTCATTATTGGCCCCGCCCGGGTGTCATTGTTTTTCCCTATATGTGTAAAGTAAAATCTTAAAAGTCTTCTTTTAAAAATCCCATAGAGCTAGAGCTTAGATATTTATCATGAAACATCTTCTAATGGGTGTCTACCAAGTTTGTTCAAATAAAAGCCCCTGGGTTGAATTGGCCCTCCCTGGGTGAGCGATTTCAGGGCCATCATGGCCCTCTTGTTTACCTTTAATAATAGTTTTTGTTAGTTATGAAGATTTTTTTTTAACTTGTATAAGTGTGTCATTAAATACTGAGAGAAAAAAAACACTTTTTTAGGCTATTTTAAAATAAAATAAACAAATATGTTTCATAATCTTTCTTACAAATTTATTTTCTGATTAGCTAGCAAATATGTGGAGATGAAGTTGTGGATAGTCTGAAGCTTAGTAAACACTGGAGTACCCAGTTTGTTATATCTGCACTGTAAAACAAAATGATGAGGAAAATGTTCGTTCTGATGTTAAGTGGGCAAATGGTAGGTAATTGCTTCTTTTTTGGTACTAAAATTGAGAGGGGATACTAAGTGTTTGATAATTCAAAATGAGTTTATAGTTGGGAAAACCTTTGGTCTGTTTTATCCAGATTTGGTCAATATTTTTGTGTGCTTTAAGATATTTATTAGGAATACCTCCAAGATAAGGTCACACTTGGAGGTCATATTTATTATATCTGGAAATTACATATTGTGGTGACATTGTCTGTCCGTCAGTCTGTACTGACTTGATTGAGTTTATTTCTTATGTGAAAAAAATTACCTTAGTATGTCAACTCAGAGAATGTTTATCTGTCTGTCTTTCTGTCTGTAGACAATATGTTTATATCAAAATTCAGGTCAAGGACAATGGCTGCAATCAGCTCATTATTGTCCCCCCACCTTTTCGAAGAAAAAATGGGGGATGTAGAAATAAGCTCGGTACGTCTATCGGTCCGTCTGTCGGCTCTCACGGGACAGTAATAATGTTGCTAGAGGGACAATAGGTAACTGTTCTTTCTCTTTGATGTCATTCATTCCATAATGCTTTTATGTGGCTATTTTTTGTGTGGCTAAAAACAACAATAGTGAGAACAATAGAGTAGCCACATTATTACTGTCTAGTTAGAAGGAACGTCCGTGTGTCTGTCCGTCACACTTCCGTGTCATGTCCATAACTTTGTCATTTATTAAAGGAATTTGAAACAACTTGGCACAAATGCTTGTCCAAATAAGACGATGTGTCATGCACAACAACTAGACCCCTACCTCCAGGGTCAAGGATGCACTCACTCACTTTAAGGTCAATCCAGGGTCAAGGTTGCACTTGCTGACTTCAAGGTCAATATTGTCTATTTGAGGGTATATGTCGTGTCTTGTCCATAATCTTTGAAGGGATTTTGTAAATATTTGCTAGAATTGTTGACAATATGACGATGTGTCATACATAACAACGGGTCACCTACCTCCAAGATCAACATCACGCTTGGAGGTCAAAGATTAACATAGTCTGTTATAAGGTATATTTTGTGTCCGGTCCATAACTGTTTCATAGATCAAAGGATTTTGAAAATACTTGACACAAATAGTCACTATAATAAGATGATGTGTCATGAGCAACACCTGCATCCCTACCTCCAAGGTCAAGGTCTCTCTTAGAGGTCAAATATTAAATAGTTTGTTATAGGGTATATTTTGTGTCTGATCTAGAACTTCTTCATAGTTCAAGGGATTTTGAAATAACTTGGCACAAATAGTCTCAATAATAAGATGATATGTCAAGTACAACACCTTGCACCCTATCTCCAAGGTCAAGGTTACTCTTACAGGTCAAAGGTTAACAGAG